TTGCTGAAAGGGTTGTCGCAAACCCTCGATTTTTGCAAAAATAGAGGGTTGACAAAAAGCTACTTTTGATGGATGGAACAGCGAAAAACACCGCTATTTGCAGGGTTTCGTGAGGTTTCAGCTAGCTTGTCCCTTCATGGCCGCGGCATTATGTCGGTTCGGGGCGTTGTTGTTGTTGTTGTTGTTGTTGTTGTTGTTGTTGTTGTTGTTGTTGTTGTTGTTGTTGTTGTTGTTGTTGTTGTTGTTGTTGTTGTTGTTGTTGTTGTTGTTGTTGTTGTTGTTGTTGTTGTTGTTGTTGTTGCTGTTGCTGTTGCTGTTGCTGTTGCTGTTGCTGTTGCTGTTGCTGTTGCTGTTGCTGTTGCTGTTGCTGTTGCTGTTGCTGTTGCTGTGTGTTGTTGTTGTTGTTGTTGTTGTTGTTGTTGTTGTTGTTGTTGTTGTTGTTGTTGTTGTTGTTGTTGTTGTTGTTGTTGTTGTTGTTGTTGTTGTTGTTGTTGTTGTTGTTGTTGTTGTTGTTGTTGTTGTTGTTGTTGTTGTTGTTGTTGTTGTTGTTGTTGTTGTTGTTGTTGTTGTTGTTGTGTTGTGTTGTTGTTGTTGTTGTTGTTGTTGTTGTTGTTGTTGTTGTTGTTGTTGTTGTTGTTGTTGTTGTTGTTGTTGTTGTTGTTGTTGTTGTTGTTGTTGTTGTTGTTGTTGTTGTTGTTGTTGTTGTTGTTGTTGTTGTTGTTGTTGTTGTTGTTGTTGTTGTTGTTGTTGTTGTTGTTGTTGTTGTTGTTGTTGTTGTTGTTGTTGTTGTTGTTGTTGTTGTTGTTGTTGTTGTTGTTGTTGTTGTTGTTGTTGTTGTTGTTGTTGTTGTTGTTGTTGTTGTTGTTGTTGTTGTTGTTGTTGTTGTTGTTGTTGTTGTTGTTGTTGTTGTTGTTGTTGTTGTTGTTGTTGTTGTTGTTGTTGTTTGTGTTGTTGTTGTTGTTGTTGTTGTTGTTGTTGTTGTTGTTGTTGTTGTTGTTGTTGTTGTTGTTGTTGTTGTTGTTGTTGTTGTTGTTGTTGTTGTTGTTGTTGTTGTTGTTGTTGTTGTTGTTGTTGTTGTTGTTGTTGTTGTTGTTGTTGTTGTTGTTGTTGTTGTTGTTGTTGTTGTTGTTGTTGTTGTTGTTGTTGTTGTTGTTGTTGTTGTTGTTGTTGTTGTTGTTGTTGTTGTTGTTGTTGTTGTTGTGTGTTGTTGTTGTTGTTGTTGTTGTTGTTGTTGTTGTTGTTGTTGTTGTTGTTGTTGTTGTTGTTGTTGTTGTTGTTGTTGTTGTTGTTGTTGTTGTTGTTGTTGTTGTTGTTGTTATGCGAATATGTACATATATGATACGGCTGCGGGTCAAAAATAGGTACCCGAAATGGAATCCTGGTACATGGAGACATGGACCAAAACCTGCGGTCCCCGGTGGTGTAATTTTGACGCACTGGTATAATTGCCTCCAGATCTTCAAGATACCTGAAAACGCACTTGACCCGTCGTTTGCGTGCGGTCCCAGTCCACCTGCACTCAGGTTGAGATCCCCGAGTTCATCGATGGCTTCCCGCGAGGACGGGCCGAGTCCATTCGCACGGATCCGCAATCGACCGCGCGAAACGCAGTACGCCCTTTGGGCCTTTGGTCCTTTGGTTCGAAAGTTTCGAAGGGTCTCCTTGAGATGTTCAACCAAACAAACCTGCCGCATTTTTCTATCACTCTGAGAAAGAGGGGCTGTGGCGGAAAAGAGATCACCCTTTACAGTGCTGAAACGAACATAGGTGGTTGCCTTCTGTCGTAGCTTGTCTGACCCAAAATGGCTTCCAACAAATGGGGATCCTGTGGGATGCTACACGCATGATTGTCCTTTGCAAACTGGAACCCGTTTATCAGGACTCATTTACGGTCCCTTGAGTGGGAGCAGCCGAGTGACCCGTTGCTGTTCAAGGGCGCTGGCCGTATCCATGAGCCGTGCCTTTAGGGCCTTGGGAAGTACATGTGATGGTGCAAATGTGGTGCCTTCCCCGGTTTCCCTTAGAAACAAATTACAAAACCTCAGAGCCGGCCCGCACCCCGGAGCCTATCTCAGACCCCAAAGCTTGCAGCTGGGGGGGGAAAAGCACAAGCCCAAAGGGACCGTTGCATTGCCAGACTTTCCTTCTTGCCCTTTTTCTACAGCGATAGAGAAGGTCTTTGGTTCTCTCCTGAACAGGGGTAAAGAGGCAAACTTAGGCATTCCCCCCCCAAAGAAACAACAAGATAACATTAGATAAATACTTGCGCACACAAGGGATCACATATGCAAGTCTCGCAGGAGACATCTCCTGCTGGCTGAGCCACGAGAAGGTGTACTACGACGCTTGGACAGTGACCACGTTGTTTGTTGTTGTTGTTGTTGAAAAAAAAACAAAAAAATGGCATGTTTGTGAGTGGAGAAAAAGTCCCTTGACCTTCTCAAAGCCCCGTAACTTCTCCCGCAACGGCTTCGGCTTGAAGTTTTCTTCGGCGCTTGCCGAGTGCGGCACCAAAGAGAAGTACGTGAAGGAGCGGCGCCTCATCTACGATCCCAATGTCCGGGGCTCAGACGTTTCTTTGGCGTGCGCTTCTGGTGGTTGACATGGTCCCCCGGTCCCCCAGCAAGTGGTGCCCTTTTTAACGCCCCTTTTTTTGGGGGGGAGGGTTCCGCTACTAAAAAAGAGGAAACAGAAAAAAGTGGGTAGCCTCATTCTGGCCTCTCAAATCTGGAGGACCTAGTTGACATGGAGCGACTCGAGGCAATGTCTGGGACACCTCAAGCGACCGGCGCACCGTGTTTCGCAGCTTGCCGCGCGAAGCATGAGAGCTCGTACCCTTTGTGGATGGCGTTTTGCTTCTTGGCATGGGGAGCAGTTCTCGCGCGATTTCAGCTGGGCACAGGAAGCCGCGACAACAACGTAGAAAAGTTGCGTCGGGGAACTTGCTCGGAGAATTTGCGCAGTTGATCAGAGAACTTGCTCAAGGAGCTTGCTCAGAGAACTCTCGCGAGCGCCAGAACTTGCATAGATAACTTGCTCAGAGGGCGTGCTTTGCTTACAACTCGGTCACGTGTGTTTTGGGGCAACCTATCTTCTAGTAGAGAATCCAGAGTATTGCTGGGACAAATCCCCCCGGGTTCAAACGACCTGAGCTTTGGTCAGTTTCCGGAAAACCCTGGATGCCACCTTTTGGTGTCTTCTATTCCAAGCCTGGGGGTCCAAAGAGTGGCCTTTTTTCTTGAACACACACGCACATCTTTGCAGGACTCACAACCGGCCAAACCGCGTCCAGGCTGCCTCCACGAGAGATCATCAAATCACCTTCGCCGAGTTCAAGAAGGCCTTGGGGTCACGCTTTGGTTGCCCTCGTCAAGTGTTTGTTTGCGGCGAAAAGGGCAAGTGACCGCAAGTTGGTGGAAGAGTGGAGTTTCGCGGGTGGTTTCCTTTGGCTTCCACTAGAGAACTGCCGGACCAATTCTATGCCGATCCGGTGAGTTGGATTTTCGGATAGGTGGTGAGGAACATGACCGAAGGCTTGTGCCAGCGTGTAACGCTGGGTTCCATAGCGGGAGGGGCCTTTGCTTCGATCGCAGTAGCTCTCCTTGCGAATCCACTCAGGAGGCGGCAGCTTTTTTGTCAGAGGTATGCGAAGCTGGCCCTAAAAATGTCGGCAACAGGACCATCCTGGGGGGCTGCAGGAGCATGAGAGGATGGGACCCCAATTTGCTGGTTGCCCCGCGCGAAATGCAGCTTGTGAGAATGGGACTATCTGCAAGAGAAGCGGTAAAGACAAACTCTAAAGACAACATGTCATAGCAGCATGGGTTTGCCCTGGTCTGCTTCAAAATTGAGGGGCCCCAAAAGTGCGAGTCAGGCTCTAAAGCAACCCTCACAGCGATACCTTCAGGTCCAAGCATACCATGCATAGTTATGCGCATTCGTGCCGTGCAGCTTCCGCTTACGCACACGATCGATCGCGGTCGGCCTGTCGGAGTCTACGCCAAAATCGCATACCCGCGGAACTAATATCATAAATGTATCATGTTGAGAATGTTTAGGGCTCGAAAGGTTTGCGAGGGCGAAGCGGCGTGAACGGAATATGTGTTTTCCCAGCGTCAGTTTCCAGGCTACCTTCGGGGTCCTTTGGCCCACCCTTCATATGTAAACATCAGGGAGCCCCCGATAATTTTTTTTCCCAGGCTCAACACAGCCATGTCTACGGTCCCAGAGGGTCTCTTGGGACACTTTGAGGATGTCTGTTGGATTTCCAAAGATGGGGCAAAAGGGCAACTTTGTGGCGTTCTAAAGGGAAGCTTTGTGCAAAAGCCGCCTTTACCGCATCCCCAACCTTCAGGCAGACTGCCTCAGGAATTGCTATGACATACCGGATCACACCGAGGAATGAGCGAGCGCCCGCAAAAAAAAGGTGGTTTCCAGGTGCAACTTGGAAAACCGCCCCCGTGTTGCAGGGTGCAACACAGCCGACGTCGACCCGTCAGGCCTTCAACGCCGTGATCACACCGTGATCGCAGGCGCGACGAGAAGCTTTCCGGACCCGCAACGGGGGGGAAGGTCCCGAGTGATTCGTAGCGACTCAGATGATGCTTGAGACTTTTATTGAATTGAACCGATTCCCAGAGTCCCAAAGCAATCAGAACACGAAAACACGCCAGAGGCAAGAGTGGAACCTTAGGCTTCCACTGCTTCTGAGAACGACCGCTTCCACTTGGGTGTGTCACCAAATGCGTCGAACGCCCTTTTGGATGGCTCTAAACGAACAAACATGAGGAGCGAACCAGCCACCTGGAAAAGCTGGCCCCGATTCTGAGAATGACCCTTTTGACGAGCAAACCCCGCAGAAGGGAATGTGACTCAAGGGAAGAGAACTGGGTTTGTCTTCTTTTGAGCGTGCCCTTTCTATGATTGGTTCAAGGGAACCCTAAAAACATACATTTTGGGGGGTCCCCTATTTTCAGACCCACGCGATTGCAACTGGTTTTGACCAGGGTAACTCATAAAGTACCATATGTTTTTTGAGAAGTTGTTTACCTTCTGACCCCAGCTCTTTGAGGAAACACGGGCTCGTCGGTTTGGGGTGGAAGCCTCAAAGAGGGAAACCTTGAACTCATCCCCAGAGCGCCTGCCGGCCTACCCCCTTTCCCAAGCCCGGATGCGTCGACACCAGCTTGCCATCGGAATCTTTGTGCCCTACCTGAACAAAGAATTTTGGCCCTGCAAGTAAGGCCTCACGCCTCTGAACCTGAGCTGGACGCTCAGGATCCCGACAGGATCCGGAGAAAAGCTCTTGAACAAGTTCTCAGGCTATACCCAGCTGGTTTGGATTCGTGAGTTTTTTGCACCCCTGCGTGCCTGTAGAGAGTGACCACCAAAGCAGGAAGCTGACGTCTTGGAACAAAGGGGTAACTGCAAGAACTGGTCTCATATTTGGGGTCTTGGCTTCTAGAGTCAGTGAGTCACAATTTTGTCTCCACTGAATTGGGAAACTCCAGTGACCCTGTCGGATTGCATAGCGTGCCAGTAGAGCCATGCCGTTTGAGCCATGGGTCGAAGCCATGGTGATCATCCCACCCCAGAACGAATGGCCCAAGGGCAGCAAATAGTTGCGCTCGCTTGCTCATAGCCTGGGAAGGGATGTGCCATGATGTTTTTGGGGTTGCAAACCAGGGCGCGGAGTAGTATTCAAGCCAGGCATCCGGCATGGGCATGCGCTGGAGCATGCTACCTGGAACATGCCACCCTGACAAATGTCACATCGCTTGATGGGCGGTTCTAAGTTTCATTGCGGGATGCTGAAAAGGGACCTTCCTCAGTTTCCGTACTTCAGGCATAAGCTTCTTTCAGCCGCAAACCGAAAGTCTAGTTGCTTTTGCCAGCAACAGGGACAGACCGCCCTGGTGCCCCACATTTTGACACCCAGTTGTTTGAGACAACTGGAAGGTTTCACCGGGTCAAAGCTGTCGAGCCCTGCTGCGAAGAAATGCACATGGTGTCGATGCCCCCGCATTTTGAAGAGGTCACGGAGACTCCAGGTATGTGTATACAATATATATCTATATATATATATATGTGCGGTATGTTATGAGAAAACCAGTAATGTTTGGCAGAGCAGGGGGCGGAAGTTTCAACTACAGAAACTTTACGTTGGAGCAGGCTTCTTTTCCGCTTCTCTGTCTCTCTCTCTCTCACTCTTTGTCTCTCCCCCCCTCTCTTTCTTGACTTGCTTTTTCTTCTGGCTCCCTTTCTCTTCCTCTTTCTCGTTCACGGTATTTTCATGTTCTTCCCCACATCTTTGTGTGGGGTTCCTACTTTTACCGCTGCGCGCCCGCACCCTCCACCGCCCGCCGTTCACTCACTCCCTCCCTCCCTCGCTCGCTCGCTCACTCCCTCCCTCCCTCACTCACTCACTCAACTCACTCACTCACTCAACTCACTCAACTCACTCAACTCCCTCAACTCACTCACTCACTCACTCACTCACTCACTCACTCACTCACTCACTCACTCACTCACTCACTCACTCACTCACTCACTCACTCACTCACTCACTCACTCACTCACTCACTCACTCACTCACTCACTCACTCACTCACTCACTCACTCACTCACTCACTCACTCACTCACTCACTCACTCACTCACTCACTCACTCACTCACTCACTCACTCACTCACTCACTCACTCACTCACTCACTCACTCACTCACTCACTCACTCACTCACTCACTCACTCACTCACTCACTCACTCACTCACTCACTCACTCACTCACTCACTCACTCACTCACTCACTCACTCACTCACTCACTCACTCACTCACTCACTCACTCACTCACTCACTCACTCACTCACTCACTCACTCACTCACTCACTCACTCACTCACTCACTCACTCACTCACTCACTCACTCACTCACTCACTCACTCACTCACTCACTCACTCACTCACTCACTCACTCACTCACTCACACTCACTCACTCACTCACTCAACTCACTCAACTCACTCAACTCACTCAACTCACTCAACTCACTCAACTCACTCAACTCACTCAACTCACTCACTCACTCAACTCACTCACTCACTCACTCACTCACTCACTCACTCACTCACTCACTCACTCACTCACTCACTCACTCACTCACTCACTCACTCACTCACTCACTCACTCACTCACTCACTCACTCCACTCACTCACTCACTCACTCACTCACTCACTCACTCACTCACTCACTCACTCACTCACTCACTCACTCACTCACTCACTCACTCACTCACTCACTCACTCACTCACTCACTCACTCCACTCACTCACTCACTCACTCACTCACTCACTCACTCACTCACTCACTCACTCACTCACTCACTCACTCACTCACTCACTCACTCACTCACTCACTCACTCACTCACTCACTCACTCACTCACTCACTCACTCACTCACTCACTCACTCTCACTCACTCACTCACTCACTCACTCACTCACTCACTCACTCACTCACTCACTCACTCACTCACTCACTCACTCACTCAACTCAACTCAACTCAACTCAACTCAACTCAACTCAACTCAACTCAACTCACTCACTCACTCACTCAACTCACTCAACTCACTCAACTCACTCAACTCAACTCACTCAACTCGCTGCTCGCTCGCTCACTCACTCCCTCACTCACTCAACTCACTCACTCACTCAACTCACTCAACTCACTCAACTCACTCAACTCACTCAACTCACTCAACTCACTCAACTCACTCGCTCGCTCGCTCACTCACTCCCTCACTCACTCACTCACTCACTCACTCACTCACTCACTCACTCACTCACTCACTCACTCACTCACTCACTCACTCACTCACTCACTCACTCACTCACTCACTCACTCACTCACTCACTCACTCACTCACTCACTCACTCACTCACTCACTCACTCACTCAACTCACTCACTCACTCACTCACTCACTCACTCAACTCACTCAACTCACTCACTCACTCACTCAACTCACTCACTCACTCACTCACTCACTCACTCACTCACTCACTCACTCACTCACTCACTCAACTCACTCACTCACTCATTCACTCACTCACTCACTCACTCACTCACTCAACTCACTCACTCACTCACTCACTCACTCACTCACTCACTCACTCACTCACTCACTCACTCACTCACTCACTCACTCACTCACTCACTCACTCACTCACTCACTCACTCACTCACTCACTCACTCACTCACTCACTCACTCACTCACTCTCACTCACTCACTCACTCACTCACTCACTCACTCACTCACTCACTCACTCACTCACTCACTCACTCACTCACTCACTCACTCACTCACTCACTCACTCACTCACTCACTCACTCACTCACTCACTCACTCACTCACTCACTCACTCACTCACTCACTCACTCACTCACTCACTCACTCACTCACTCACTCACTCGCTCGCTCGCTCGCTCACTCACTCACTCACTCACTCACTCACTCACTCACTCACTCACTCACTCACTCACTCACTCACTCACTCACTCACTCACTCACTCACTCACTCACTCACTCAGTCAACTCACTCAACTCACTCAACTCACTCACTCACTCACTCCCTCACTCACTCACTCCCTCACTCACTCACTCACTCAACTCACTCACTCCCTCCCTCACTCACTCACTCCCTCACTCAACTCACTCAACTCACTCAACTCACTCAACTCACTCAACTCACTCAACTCACTCAACTCACTCAACTCACTCACTCACTCCCGCACTCACTCACTCACTCAACTCACTCACTCACTCACTCAACTCACTCACTCAACTCACTCAACTCACTCACTAATTCCTCCTTCCCTGCCTCACTAACTCACTCCCTCACCCACTCACTCACTCAACTCACTCAACTCACTCAACTCACTCAACTCAATGACTTACTCACTCACTCACGAACTCAACTCACTCAACTCACTCAACTCACTCAACTCAATCACTTACTCACTCACTCACTCACTCACTCACTCACTCACTCACTCACTCACTCACTCAGTCTTTTACTCAATCACTTACTCACTCACTCACTCACTCACTCACTCACTCACTCACACACTTACTCACTTACTCAGTCAACTCAACTCAACTCAACCAACTCAACTCAACTCAACTCAACTCAACTCAACTCAACTCAACTCAACTCAACTCAACTCACTCAACTCACTCAACTCACTCAACTCAACTCAACTCAAATCAGCTCAACTCAACTCAACTCAACTCAACTCACACTCGCTCAGTGTCACTCACTCACTCACTCACTCACTCACTCACTCACTCACTCACTCACTCACTCATTCACTCAGTCACTCAGTCACTCAGTCACTCACTCACTCACTCACTCACTCACTCACTCACTCACTCACTCACTCGCTCACTCACTCTCTCACTCACTCACTCACTCACTCACTCTGCTGTAACTGGGCGCGCGCAGCGCTTTGGAGATGGCCGTGCTGATTGCGTGGCAGGCGCAGTGTTTCGTGCATCTAGGCGTGTGTTTGTGGCAAGGGCGCAAGAGCAGCGTTTGGCAGCTGTCTACCGTGTGTTGGAGTCTAACTGACCTGCATGTTGTCGCGCGCGCGCGGCTCGGGGGCTTGTTTTGGGCGACAGGCGCAGCACTTTGGAAATGGCCGTGCTACTTGCGTGGCAGGCACAGTATTCTGTGCATCTGGGCGTGTGTTCGTGTGGCAGGGGCAGCATTTGGCACGGCTGGATGTTGTCGCGCGCAGTGGCAGCTGCAGCATTTGGCAGCTGTCTAACTGGGCTGGATGTTGTCGCACGCGCGGCTCGGGGGCTCGTTTTGCGTGACAGGCGCAGCACTTTCGAGATGGCCGTGCTGACTGTGTGGCAGGCGCAGTATTCTGTGCATCTGGGCTCGTGTTTGCGTGGCAGCTGGAGCACGTTGCAGGTTTCGCACGGGCGGCTCGGGGGCTCGTTTTGCGTGACAGGCGCAGCACTTTGGAGATGGCTGCAGCATTTGGCAGCTGTCTAACTGGGCTGGATGTTGTCGCGCGCGAGGCTCGGGGGCTCGTTTTGCGTGACAGGCGCAGCATGTGTGTTCGCGCGACTCGGGGGCTCGTTTTGCGTGACAGGCGCAGCACTTTGGAGATGGGCGTGTGTTCGTGTGGGACAGCATTTGGCAGCATTTGGCAGCTGTGTAACTGGGCTGGATGTTGTTGCGCGGCTCGGGGGCTTGTTTTGCGTGACAGGCGCTGATTGCGTGGCACGTGCAGTATTCTGTGCATCTTGGCGTGTGTTCGTGGTGCAGCGGCAGCATCTGGCAGGGCTGGGTGTTTCGGGGTGGCAGCTGCAGCATTTGGCAGCTATCTAACTGGGCTGGATGTTGGCGCGCGTGCGGCTGGGGGCTCGTTTCGAGCACTTCGGAGATGGCCGTGCTGAGCACGTGGCAGGCGCAGTATCCTGTGCATCTGGGTGTGTGTCAGGCGCATTTGCTTGTCATCGCTGCCGTCAACCCAGAGCGGACGGCTGCAGAGACCCAACACGATCGCTCTTGAGAAAAAAAGTTGCGCTGCGACTGCCAGACATGTATCACTAGATACTCCGTAGATTAAAATGGAATCCACGATGGCATCGCGGAAGCCCCAGAAAAAATGCTCTTGGGTTTGCACTGAGGCGCCTGGAGTTTTCACGACCCCTTAAAGAATCGGATAGTGGAGTTCCCCAAAGTCAACCTTTTGACCCGTTGGTTTTCATATGTTGGTCCACCCGTCACCTTGCCGTTTAGCTCTGAGTGCAGTAGAGTTGGGTCAGCTGTGGCAAGATGCAAGCCAACAGACCTTGGCACACAGCTTCCAAAAATCAACGTCAACTCCTGTCCCAGCCAGCTGGAGCACCCCAGCACAAACTGCAGCTGAAGGTGCTGATGACTCTCTTAGCTCATTGAAAGATCACCGAGTTGTTTTGGAGAGTGAGTTTGCTTCTGTGCTGTTAATTTGCCGTTGGCGGAAAGGCCCAGCTCCACGCCATGTTGGTTTCATGCACCGGCAATACCCGGTTTTTCTGGGGGGGCGGTGTCTCCAGCCCCGAGCCATGCAGCCATGGCTGATCGGTGTGGTGGTAACATCTGTGGTCTTGATGACGGTGCTCTTCGTGCTCAGCTTCGACAGCTTGGAGTGCCCTCGCCCGGTCTTGGAGTTGAAAGGGTATGCTGGGTCCCCCAGCGATTGGTGCCCTTTCTCACCAACTGTTTCAGAGTTCCCCTACTAAAATGGACGACTGAAAAAAGTTGGTACCCTTGTTCTAACCTCTCTACTGGAGGACCCAGGAAACCACAAGGACGCCATGTCCTTTTGAAGGGGTAGCCTCCTGTCCGTTGGAATCCCTTTAAGAGGGTCCCTCTTAAGGGAAGAGGGGACCCCTCATTCAGGTTCCATGTACCTAATGGAGGGAAAAGAGCAACCCTGCATCAGCCGGAGTCTGACTCACGCGAGCCGCGCAGCCTCACCGGGCTGTTCAAAGGCGATCCGATCCAACTCCTTGCCTCGGGTTACAACAGCGGCTCCCTTTCTCGTGGTTTTCTTTGAAGAGCTAAAAAAAACGGAGGGGCGGACACTTCGAACAGGAGCCAAATCATAGTACTCTCTTGTGAGCAGAACTTATGACATTAAAGTCCCCAGCTGCATCCTTTTCATTCAGGCAATATGCGTTTTGCCAGGTATCAGGAGTACGGCTTGAACTGCAACTACCTGAGTGAGAGTGTGGAGAAGGACATGGGAACCATCTGGCGTATCTCAAAATGGGGGGACCCTCGAAACTGGTCGGTGTCCGCTTGGTTGCCCCGGCAAAGCATTCAGAAAGGCGCTCCGTTTGAGACGCCAACTCAAGAAGAGGAAGAAGAAGACGGGGAACTCAAACCGCAGATTGTGAGGACCTGCTGAGGGCTGGCCAGAGTCTCAACCGCGGGCATTTGCGGATGCTTGCCAGGGGGGCCGTTTTCACCGGAAAGGAACAACTGGGTGCTTTGCAGGAGAATCTGTGGATGCCAAATCCACGTGATTCTGCGTGGAGTTGTTCTTTTTCTCTGGGCATGTTCCATGATCGCCTCAACCCAGAACTTGAGGAATCCAAGGGCCTCATACAAAACGCCACCAAAGTGGCCAAGGCCCGAGCTGTTTTGCGCTGGTCATGGCCAGAACTGGGAGGGGTAATTAGCAAGTCGTTTCAGGGAAAAATGTGCTTCCAGGAATCCGCCGAGGGATTTCCTGTAAGGAAATTCGCCCCGGATCCGCTTGGGGTATAGAAGTTGTCCCCTTTTGCGGTGGCTTCAACCAAGGAAGGGAAGTTTAGATCGGCCCTTTTGCCGTCAGCTTGCCTCTGCTGCTCTTTCATACACAGTCTCTGAGTGGGGGAACATCCAGCTTCGATGTCCTCTTAAATCCACCCCAAATGGGTTTCCTTTGAAATCCACTTGAATCTACCGTCCAGAATGGTTTGCCGCTCTTTACTTTTTACTCCACCCCATGGGGAACCGGCAAGCCGCTACACTCCTCGTGAGGAGCCCTACAGCGCCGGCCGCCGCTCGGAAAATTCCCACTTTCTGGGGCAGCAGAGGTTTCAGGTTGGTTTCTTTGTTTCTTCGTGGTTCCCGGCCATCCGGCCCCTTAAGCTTTTAGGCAAAGTACGGTTGGAGGATTGTTTTGGGTGGAAGTGTTGGAGGATGGGGGGCGAAAGTACTGTTGGAGGATGGTGTTTTGGGTAAACCTCGACCTTCACAGCTGTGTTTGAAGGGGTTAAAATGGGTCATGTGGCACCTTAGGTACCACTGGAAAAAAATCAGGTTGCTGCAAGGTATGCTTTGCGGAATCAATCTTCACTGGTAAGTCGAGCTCTGACTGTTATGTACGGAAGGGTTGCGGGGTCACCCCTTGTTGTGATTCTGATGCTTCGGATGTGAATTTATTGTATCCGAATTGTCACGTCCTCATGCGACCTCCAGAGGTTTGGTTTGGGAACTCACCCATGTTGACTGGTGCTCCTCCAAAACTTATGCCAAGGTAGGCTAAAAGTGACACAGGTTGTCTTTTTTGAGGGTACCCCTTTTTGGTGGGTCTTTCACTGGAAACAACCGGAAAAACAGACGACAATTTGCGGGTCCAAATCCAAACAAAAAACACCCACATCGAGTCAGAACTCGATATCTTCTGTGTCAGATGTTGGACGAGGAAGGCTCCTTGAAATGGCGGGGTCCCTAAGGAAACGTTTTGGCGCCCCTCAAAAAGTCGATCGGCCAGTGATGTATAAGTGTACTGGATTGGTGCTGAATGGTACAAAAGATTCTTACGTTCCCCCGCGAAGCCAAAAGGCAATGGATTGCTGTTACCGTTTCCAGACACCGAAATAGGGCATCCAGAGTTTGCAGAACATCGGAACCCAGGTCTTGAGATTTGAGTTGTTTGTCATTCAGCCTAAACTATGATCCAGTCTCATCACGGTTCCTGGAGACTTCTTCTCATATTTTTTCCCTGTGGGCCTTTCAGAAGTCCCGAAATGGTGTGCAAGTGGGTCGCAGGCCTACATGTCGCTCAGGCTACTACCTGGGCATCACCAACCGTTTTCTCAAGTTTCCCAGAACAGCGCCTTGGCCCGGACAATGCGCCAGGGCCTTCCCTCGGGTTCAGAGACTTCGGGTCTGCTCAAAGGGTTGCCCTTGAAACGAAACTTCCTTCGGTCTCCCTTTGGACCAAGGACACCATGGTTTGCAAACCAATGGCACCCTTGTCCAGGAAAGCAAGGCTGTTTAAACCATGGGTGTGGAAAAGGCATGTCCTAATAACATGGCGCAATCCAGCTCTATGTAGACTTTATCCGTGGTTTTGGTTTCCCTTTGGCTTTTGCTTAAACTGCATCCAAGCCGCAACAAAGGGGGTTCCTGAAAAAAGCCCCATAAGTCAGCATGGGAACAAGGTACCTTCAATAAAAAGACGCCCGTGAGTCAGCAGGGCAACAAGAGTATCGTCACCGAAGACAGGTCCATGAGTCAGCGTGCAAGAAAGGGTATCCTCAAAAGTGGTTTTCCCTTCGAAACACCCCCTGACTCATGGAGAGACATGAGTCACATGAGGTGAAGTCCATCGCCTTCATCAATGACTGGAACGAAGGCCAGCAGGGCCCTGCCCTGATGAGCCGTACCCGCGATGGGCTCACTGTGCAGCTGGCTCCTCGGTAAGAATCGGATTGCGGCTGGAGATGTCCGTTCTGTTCCAACCCCAAATGCAGGGGTCCCTAGATGTCCCCATTTTGGGGTTTTGACATCAACTTTTCGGTCACTTGTCCAAAGCCGACCTTTTGACCTTTTGGTTCTTCTGCTTTGGTCCATGTCCCAAAAGGTGATCACCTTTTGTTTCAGGGTCCCTAAGGGGCAACTGAGGTGATGTTCCGTAGGGGAAATTGGGAAGCATAAAGACTGGAAGGCAAGGAACCACTCATCTGCCGTTTTTGACTGTAGGGGTCCTTGGGCAGGTTTCAAAGGGAATCCCGCACCTACTTTTGACCATTTGCCAGTTCCTTTTGCTTCTGGTTGGGGGGTCGACCAAAGAAGCACTCTTGCCATTGCTCTTGCCCCAGGGAGTGTCACAGACTTAAAAGGGTGTGAATGGCGTTGTGTGAGGGTAGTTGTTGGTGTGTCAAAGATAAATTCATGGAAAGCCGTATACATGTCTATTTTTTCTCCTCTGGAACAGCCAGTTTCAGGATTCTGTTCAACACCATGTCTTTTGGTTGCAAGAGATGCTACTGCCACGCTGCACGTTGAGCACAACCCAAGACCTCAGGCTTTGCGTAGAGCTCGCATGTTGAAAGGCAGCTCGGACCTCCAAATTCAGAAAGAAGCTGAGAGCTGGTGCTATGACTTACTGAGACACCCAGTTTCTTCCTGTTTCTTTTTTTTGTAAGGGCCAATCCCCGTCCGGAGCGCTGCATGCCTCGAGTGAAACCTGGCAGGCAACACTTACAACAGAATGTGTTTGCATCGTGTGGGGGTCGGTCATTCCGTAAAAGGGTAGAACTGCCAAGTACATGAGCGGTTCCTGATACGAGGCTGCTCGCGAAATCCGAAGGGTTCCCACTGCCAAAAGCTGGCAGTGTAGGAAGCGCATGGATTCCATCCTTTCGATATGTGAGAGTGGGGCTTCCCTTCCAACAAGTAGAGAGGGGGTGATGTTTTCAATTCGCTTCTGTTGGCTCTTTCTCTGAGTCCACCGGCAAAGCCTTAGCAAGTCCCTTGAAGAAGCTCACTGTCACGTGCTCAAAACCCGGATAAGTGAAGGTTAGTAAGGGACGATCCCCTTGCCAGAAATAGCTGCGGATATCCGGCTTCTTAGTTCTTGAAGCATGGTTCTGGGTCCACCATTTTGTACCGGGTTGTGATTATGGTTCGCTTGGGGGAAGCTCAGGAAGTGTCCTTCCAGTACCAGCTGAAGTTTGATGAGCTCTACGACATGTGCCTGGGCCATGCCTCGGCCCAAAGTATCCCATGACGAATCTGGTCACCGCCTTTGATCTTTTTGGAAACTATCCGGATGTTTCTTGGATGTGTTTTTGCCCAGGAAGGGGAAAGACCCGCTTGGATTCGTGGAGGTTGTCACTAAAAACGGTTTGAAGGCTAATTTTTAGGGTGTTCATGGACCCGGCTCTACAAGTAGCGCCGCTGCATTTGGTTCAAGTAACGTGGCAATTCAGCGAATCCATGGCAAGAACATGGGCTGAGCATCAACCCTCTAGTAGGGATTATTGCCACCACTGTGATGACTCCCAGTCAGGACCGTGAAGAGTTTGCCCATGGCAAACGTAGCGGAGCCTGGTTGCTTTCGGTTTGGTTGCTTTACCATCCACAAGATGGACTCCGTTTGATTCCAAGGCATCACCGTGAATCTATTCTCAGGCCTTTGGTTTCATCCCTATTGGGGCAAGGAATGCAGACTCTAACCCCATGTCCATTCCCCTGAAGCGCCATACAGGAAACGCCAGCACAGACTTTTTCCTGAAAAGGGCCGCAGGCGAAAATGTAAAGTAGCCACACAGACATCGGTTCCTTGGAATCCACTCGTTTGATTCTTTACCTGGATTTTGCCTCTTTGCCATTGATCATAGATGATGCGGACGGCCGTTGAAAACCCCCCAGTTTGTAGGGAAAAACGGAAAAGCGGACGACATGTGCGGTTGCCGTGGCTGAAATTTGGAGCTTCCAGTGACTGGGGAGAATGTGTGGTCGCTCGACTGATATATCCATAGCGCAAATGCAAAAAGCGGATACTACTGTTGAGAACGGGGAACTCCGCAGGGTAATATGCTGGGAATGGTGTTTTCTTTTGGAGCTTCCCCTCTCAAAAGTGGGATGGTGGACATGAATCCCAGCCTTTTTTGATGTCCACCAAAGGGTCCCGGAACAAATTCAAAGTGCCGTGGTGCAAAAGATGCCCGCCCTTTCTTTGGTCTTCACTACACGGTCTCTTCCAGTTCGACCGCCTGCTCAGGTGGTCGATACTTGGCTTGGACTACGAGAAGACCTTCGTCCGGATGGCCATTGAGCAGCTGACCACGGCCACCACGAACCACAACGCCCACTTCTTCTTCAGGCGCCGCGAGCGCCGCGAGTTGAGTCGGCGCCCCCAAAACAATTCGCCGAGCAAACTGAATCGACCAGATCGAAAGACCGTTTCCAGGTGCCCCCAAAGCTTCGCCTTTTGGTTCTGGGTCCAAACTGGGCTGAGTATGTGCTTGGATAGCTGAAACCTTGACCCTTTACTTGAAGAAATGTGTGCGTGTGTGTTGTCCCACTCCACAAAATGTTAAGGTGTTTGTGCCGGGGGCTTCTTCCCACCGAGTTTTGTAGCTCCTTTTCCAGAATCCCGGTCCTCAAATAGGCTTGGACCAGGGTTGGGCAAGTCAATTTGAAAAGCCACGGTTGAGACCGCTATTGTGTAGAGAGCCTTCTTTGAGTTTCCCAGAAAAGATGAGTTTCAGATTGTGGCCCTGCCCTTGGGTTACAAATCTGGGGCCCGGCCCAGAGCGGTTCGCAAATCCGCACGTTCAGGTAGGACAACGGCCAGGTTGGCACAGTCATTTCCTACTAGCCTGTGATAAAAGCCTTGCCAAGGTGTCCAGGAGTTTGCGGAATGTTGTATGCTTCATATAATATGCAATAATATATATATATATATGTATGTGTATACTATACACACATGAGGCTTGCATGAGGCAATTGCTTCTCTACTCTGTGGGTTTTGCACGGCTGGGGTTTGCTGCGAGGAATCGTACCTTTGTGAGCATGGAGATGCACAAGGTGCTGGACGCTGCTCGTCCGGATCTGGGCAACCAAGGTCGGGAAAGGGGCAGGCGGCCCGAAGAAAGAGCGGGGCTGGGCAATGCTTGCTTCTTCTTTTTGTTTGCCAGCCCCGGATTTAAAACCCGGTTTCCCTTGAAGGGCAACGACCATTTCCCCCCGAAAGAAACGAGGAGACCTTGAAGGTTAGTCAGACAGTGACAATCTGTCCACAGGCAAGCGCTGTTGCTTATGACCATAGGGAAATGGCACGGTTTCACTCTCACAAGTAAACATATTGCATGCATGTTCCATGATAATTTGTCTTTGCCATCCAGGCAAACTCAGAGAACCACATGTTATAGGTGCCCAACACTTGCCATGGCCAGGGATTGATTCCAGAAAGGAATTGATGTCCGGCACAGGAGATGCAAATGGAGAGTCTGCAATGAAAGCCTTTGGCCAGAGTTGATTGCTGCAAAACTTCTGGAACTCTCGACTCGCTCCTTGAAACCGAATTGATGGCGATTTCCTCGAGCATTCCGTCCAGTGTGCAAAGCAAATGGTTGGGGGATGGGTGGCTGCAGTCAAGGATCACTTTCAGAAGCACGGTTTCGCTGAGGCAGGTTGGGGCAGTTTCGTCTTGATTCTCGTCATGTGAACCTACCTGTCCGGCTTATTGCCCTAGTGGATGCTGTGTGATCGTTTCCAACGTGTGGCGCTAATATTTTTATATCAGCGTGTGTTGCTTGAAAAATGTTCTTTTCAGGTTGGTTTTGAAGCAGTTTGCCCTGGCCCTATTCTGGTTTTCACACTTGAGACAAAGCCAGGAGCCCTTGACGGCATCCGCATCCGTCGACCGGCTTCTTTGAACCTTTCGAGGGATGCAAATGTGAAAGGGGCGTTGGGGAGAAATACAAAATGGGCACCTTCCCAAAGAATGGGTATGTGTCACAATGGGACCAGAAAATGGGATTTCGAGTTCCAAGATTTCCCCTCAGGTCAAAAGGTTGCCCAACAACTCAAGTCAACCCTCGTCCTTGGAAGCCCGCCGAGGGGTTTGCGAGGGCAGAGACATCTTTCACCTGGATCCTTAACTTCACCGTTCTTGGTATGTGCTTGGGTTGTTTGGTTGTTTGGTTCTGTTCCTGTCTAGTGGGTGGCGGCAAAAAGCACAGTTTGTTGCGCACATGCCAAGAATTGGGGCTTGCTGAAGCGTCATTTGCCATGTTTTTTTCTCCCCAAACAGTCAGCATGGAACCCGAGGAGTGCAAAAGCCGGCAAACGCATGTGCTCAATTGGTGGCCCACCTTGACATGTGTCTCGCCTATCTTAAAGCCCGTTCCCTTTCCGGGGCTTCATTGTTTTGATTGATTTTTTCGGGTTGCTCCCTAGCAATTGCACTGGTCGAAAGTTGGTTTCTGGAAACGCGGCGATACCCATTTTAGTGGCAAACGCAGAGTGTTGGACTTTTTCTGGCAGACCCTTCATGTTGGGCCATGATTGAGGCTTGAGGAGACCTCTCGTTTGAACAAGTTCTTGCAACCTGGGCCAAATGCACACTACTGCAAAGGCTGCAAAGGCTACGTGAGTTATTATGTTTAGGGGCGTCAGCTGAGTCGGCTACGTTTCCGTTTCCGTTGGTTGAAACATCACCTTTGGGGCCCACCTTTTCGGGGTGCTTACAAACGGAGTTATTTATCTGCTAACTGGGGTTCATTGGGTTAAACCCGTATTTCCGTGGAGTGTTTGTGGGGGGGGTTGGTTCAGGGTTGGTTGGGGTGTTTAAGGGGTGGTTGAGGATAGGTTCACGGATGGATAAGGAGTGGGCAAGGGGCAATTCAGGGGTTGAGGAGTGGTTGAGGGGTGTTTTAGGGCTGGTGAAGTCTTGGTCAAGGAAAGTGGTGAGGGGTTAAGGGTTTACTAAACTAGGTCCCCCAGTAGTGCCCTTTTACCAACTTTTTTGGTTGGGAGGGTTCCCCTAAATAAACGAAACAGAAAACAAATCGGGTGCCCTTTTTCTAACCTCTCTACTGGAGGACCTAGCCAACCAACCAGCGCCAGTCTTCGGTTAGCAGGTGCCTTTCTTCCAGCTCCGCACCGTGCATTTGCCCAACGAATTCGAGGACGCCATCCGAGAGACCCAGGCCAGACTGGTGGGCTGGGGGATGCCCTTGGAGAGAACTGTGTCTATACATGTTTGTATGTATATGGGCAGCGTCTAGAAACACATATTACAATATATGTACCATATAAATTATGTTTGCATATATATATATATATATGCATCTATACACATAGGCATATATATATATATGTAGGATATATACATGTGTGTACAAATAAATATATATATATATATAAACATATATATATATATATGTATATATATATGTATATATATTTATTTATTTATTTATGTGTATATATATATATATATGTGTAGATATATATATATATATATACGCATGCGTGTGCTCTTCAGCTTGCCAGGGCCCGGAGTGAAGAAGCATTTGGACGGCGCCAGGTCTATTTCGGTGGTGGTGGTTGTGTGTTTGTGCGGGGTGCTTCTAAGAGGGGTGTCTCAAAGTACTGACCCCTTTCCGGATGTTTTCGCGAGGCCAAAAGGAAGCCACCTACCAGGAGGGGCGAAGCCTGTTGGACAAGTTCCTACACCATCTAGGATGAAGCCCTAAATGGTGATACACCTCCTGGATTTGGTCCAATACCTGAAAATCCACCCAGGTCCCAGGTCCATGCTTATTTGTTTCAAGTGGGTTTCAACCCCATGTTTGTTTCCCTCACGTTTGTTTCTTCGGGGTTTCTCCATGTGTTGTTTAAGGGTGTTTTCCCTATGGTTGCGTTTGTCCTGGCCTCCCATTCGGTTATTCGAGACACCTACAGGTCCAGGAGCAGCACATCGCCATCGCTCGCCTGGAGCAGCTCACGAAAAAGGCGGGGGGAAGCTTTTCGAGGAACGTCGTCTACGTGGGTCTTTGGGATAAAGGGTAAGCCTCAATCGCTTTAGGGCTGGTTGGTTGCTTCTTTGGACTTTCTAACTTTTTGGTTGAAAGAATTGAGTTTTCATTGGACCTGTTGTTCTATCAGGTAGCTCTCAGTTGAATCGGGGGGTGGTGTGGATTGGTGCAATTGTTCAACCCCTGGTTTGTTGAGGTAGCTCTCAATGGCTTGCCGGCAGCCCATTTTTTGCCGCCCCAAGAGGTGAGCCTCTGTCCGGGTACTTTGGGCAGAGCGGGGGATTTCCCATGGACCAGAAGTGGAGAAACTGGCCGAGGGGTCAACCCAGGATCGGTGCGGATAGAAATTCGAATCCCTTTAGAGGGTAAATGGGGCTCCAAACCGCGCGGCACACCTCCCAACCGGGCTCCAAACCAAGTAGTAAAGTAGTGGGGAGCTGGCTCTTTCCAACAATAGACAAGGAACCAGCGTTTCCACCACAGTCTTCCAAGGCTTCCATGATTGATGGAAAGAGGGGATCCCTGGAGACGCCAAGGATAAGCCCTCAATAAGGCCTTACTGGTGCCCCGCAGTGATAGCCCCGAGAGAGCGGTTGGGTCTTGCTTTTGGTTTTCCAATAAAAACCAAGGTGAAGAGGGTAGCCTTGTCAAACACACGTTCCGAAACCGAAATGATTCTGGAATTGGAATCAGCTCAGCATGGAGGTAAGCGTTCTTTACTGCCTATGCTTTGGCACGACACGTCCACAAATCCATGCGCCTGCAACGGTTCCCTTAAAACTATCACCCGTCAAGGTCTATGAGGAATTGTTCAACCAGTTGGGTGGACGAATCATGTCCAACAAAAGGCCTGATCACTTCCCCAGTTATTCTTAGAAGAATTGAGTGGCAAACAAGAAGTCCTGACCTTTTCTGACCAATCTACGCAAGTTAGCGCGGGCTTAGACCTGCAATGAAGAAACCAGAGAGAGAGAGAGAGAGAGAGAGAGAGAGAGAGAGAGAGAGAGAGAGAGAGAGAGAGAGAGAGAGAGAGAGAGAGAGTCAGTCATCCGATCGGAATGTGCACGGTCAAGCGACCCCTTTGGCCTGCGCTGGAGATGGTCATGGGCCTTTTAATGAAAAATGGTCACGGACCTTCCATAAGTTAAATTTCTCATTAAAAGTTACAGTTGTTAAGGCTACTGGTGACCTTTTAAAAATTACTCCATGTGGACCTTCTTATAAGTTACGAGGTTTCTTAAGGATTGTTCAAAAAGCCATATCCATGACACACCCAAGGAGTTTCGACCATGACAAATTTGTGGATGGGGATATGTTTTAATAGGGGAGCGGTGTCACCCTCCTTCCATTCTGGGGGTTGCTTCTGTGGTCAATTCGTTTCAATCAGTCGAATCAGTCGGGGCTTGGTGTTTCTGTTTCTTGTACAAAGGAGCCGTGAGCATTGGGCACCCTACACATGGACAATATGCTCAAAGAGGACATGGGAAAATTGGGAAGCTGCCCTTGCCTTTGAGCCAAAAGCTTCCGACCTTAGACCCCGCGTTGTTCTCAAGGCTTGGTCTCCTCTCAAGAAAACCACCTTCCCCCAAAACCCAAAATCGAAGCCCCGGCACAGCTTTGTGTTTTGTTTGGACAACAGCAGCAAAACGCACATGAGTCACAATCAAAACCCGGGTAATTGGAGGGCAGTAAGGGACAATCCCAGCCATAAATGGGTACGGATATCCGCCTTTTCGATTCTTGAAGCATGGCTTTGGGGATCGACCATTTTACTACCGATCGGTTTTGATTCTAACTCGCATCGTGTTGTTTTCTTGGGTCGCATTCTGTTTGTGCATTGCCTCCTTCCCTCCGAGGTGAGTTATGGGACGGAGGTGCTGAAAGCCAAGCAGGCAAGGTTGGCTCGTGTCTTTGTTGTTGTTTTTGTTGAGACGTAGCCCTTTTGGAGTGGGTTTTAAAGTGAACGCCACAAGTTTTTGTGGGGCGGAACGGGGTGCCCTCAAAAAAAGACACGCCCAAATACATGGCAAGCCCAACCTGTGCGCTGGTGCGGCGGTGTTCTTTTAATTTGGCGGCTGTTCAAAAAGTTTACTTTTTACCTTTTCTTTTCAGGGGGTTCAGACACTCAAGACCAACTGCTTGTTCCAAAAAGTATTCAACTTTTGCTGAGTCCTGGACAAGGAAAAAGTGAGGCGCTTCTCAGTCGATCTGTGATCGGGGAGTTGTTCTCTTGGGGATCGTGTTGACTTTGCCTCCGTTGTCCATGAGGTCCCCCAATGTTCCTTTTTTGAACCTCCGAAAGTGGCATTTCGGTTGGAATTGGCCTGGCAACTGCAACTGTTGAGGGGCAAATCCAGTGATGACTGTCTAGTCAATTGGTGGTTTGGACAGGTTTGAGGAGGTTCTTGCTCTTTTTCTGAGGAAGGCAGACTTCTAACCTCCAAGCCACCAACTCAATCACCAAGTAGAGTCTGGGAAGTCCCTTTTTTCCAGGACACAGTGAGCAAATGCCGGGGGAAAGTGGAACTTTGATGTTCAGCAATTTGTCTCAAAATAGGACCCCGAAAATGCCTGGTGTTTGGCGAGCGCCCCTGTACAACCAACCCAAACAGGAAGCCAACTCTGTACTCAGTGGATGTTTCCCGGAAGTCCGAACAACTTCACAGCAAGTCTCTCGAGTCAAAAGAGGCTGGCGAGATGTCCACCCTAAACTTTGCTGCAGGAAGGAGCAGCTACGGTGACAACTCACTTCCTGAATTCATGGACTTTCAACCTTTTGGGAAGACCATTTTAGTTGATCCACTCGTTCGGACGTGAGGATATGGCTCGGGCCTTTCTTGGGGAGGTGTTCTCCCTAATGACTCGCCAAGTCGATCAGGCAGTGCAGAAGTTGCATAACGAGGCAGGGGTGTTGTTTTTGCCGGTGTCACGCCTCCTCGTTGGGCAAAGTCGGCCACACGGTTCTTGGAATATGCTTTCAGGGTCTTTTGTCGTTCTGCTCATTTATCAAGTGCTTTGCTAGCACGCCAGGGGCTAGAAAGCAACTCCGGTGCGCGAAGGTTTGAAGGCCCAAGGTCGGGTATTCGGGTAGAAAGCAGGATCCGCCATACTAGTGCATGGTGGGTGTCCAATTTCAGAGGGAATCCGGATCACTTTTAGAGGAAGCATCCCCAATCCGCCGTTTATCAGTCTGGGCTCCGCATGTCCGCTGGCTCCCTATACTTTGGTTCATCCAGAGGAGGAAGTTGGTTCATACTGAGGATGGGCGAATTCCTTCCTCACGGTTCAAACACCCTGGAATGATGATTCTGTAAATACCAACAAACAATGGTTGCAACCACGGTTTCTTCGGTGGTGCGAACGGATTTCGTCCATCAGGAAGCTGTCTGCAGGTTGTCCCGTTGTAACTTTGGCTAGATCCAGGTCTAGGACCGGTTTGACACCCCCCTCCTAAACGCCCATGTGGGCGGGTTTTGGGTACGCTTTTCGCGCGTGTGGTCAATGGAAACCGGGAAAGCCGCCAATTTTGAGGGGATGCCAACTCGAAAAGACGGACCCATGTTTGGTTCGCGAGGCTCTGAGTGTGGGTCTCAAACCTCGAGGATCCAAACTCCGCGCCGAGGGATCGGCTGACCTTGGCGCAGGGCTTCCGAACAGCTTCGGCCGGCAAAGAAAATGCCACGGAAACGACCCCCAAGAAGCGAGGCGTGACTTTTTGTCCCAAACTCTTTGGCCGGCAAGAAGCAAGAAGCCCCCCGGAGAACGATGTGCCCTTTTGCCCTCATGGGGTGCGACCCTCTCGCTGTGGGATCGATCGCGAGGCGGCCGGAGAGGCACAGGCCATCGCCACGAAGAACAGCGCCTACTGCGGCTCGGTGTTTGGTCCGAGAAAGCTTCTTGCTCTGCGGGGAATCAGTTGGAGGGACTCCAAGAAAAGCCATCCAACTGGTGGTTTCCTTTAAGGGAATCCCCAGGTTCATTCCCTTCCCTGCACACCACCGGCAAGGATTTCATGGGCCTTGACTTGGTTCAACCAGCCATCCCTTGTGAATCCGCTTTCTTGAGCCAAATGACTTCTGAAATTGGCCATGTTGGCTAATTATTTGTCACGCATAGCCGCATATTTTTTCTTGTGCTGGCAAAGGCGCCGTGGTGAAATCCTTGCACGCTCGGTAAGAGTATTTGTTGCACCCTGACGCGGAAGGCACTCACTAGAGCAAATGCGCAACGGTTTTGACTCCATGTGACCTTTCATTACCTGCCCCCTTTTGTGGGTGAAAAGCAATTGCCTTGATTGAATTGGGATCTGGAGTCCATTGTAGACTATACCTGGTTGGAAACATTGTATGTCTCACCCAAAGTGTAGGCTTCCTCTCGGAAGAATGCCCATTGAAAGTTGAAAGGTGCCAAAGCAAGCCTGCAATTGAGCTTTCGGGCGAATGGGAGCGGGGAATGTGCTTTGGAGCCCAACTAAAAAACAAAGCCAAGGCCGCCAAAAGGGATCCACTTCTGTTTCTGGAAAGGTGATCGGTTGCAACTGGGAAGCTGCAAGTAACACGAAATTTCATGAATATATGAGTGTGGTTTCAATTTAGGGAGACCTCAACAGCGGCCGCTTTTCCTTTTGGCGGCCAAATCAAGAACCCCCCAAAGGAGGGCTTCTCGCCAAAAAGACAACGCCACCAGCGCTTCTCTGAGGCCAGCAGTACAAGCTGACACAGCAGCTGCAAGCGGAAGCGCTGAAGCGCCCTGACTGCCTGTGGAGTGGGCTGGGTGCCCTATTTTTAGGGATTCACGTTGGGGAATGGGTATGTTTCCACGTCAAACGGGAAGCCAAAGGAAACCACCTGGGACAGTGAGAAAGCCGAACACAAAGCCAAATGGCAAGGATATCTTTCGTGACTCTCAGGAGTTTGACCGACTTGCGCATTCTCACTTGCTCCGTGCAAAACGGGGACGCTGGGATCCCATTTGCATGTAGCCCAACGCAACCCATTCAGGCAAAGACCAAATGTGGTACCCCGTTGCCATGGCTGATAGAAAGTTGTTTGAGGCAGCATTAGTCTTTCAGGTATAGGTCCCACAGCTAGGTTTACGGAATTGAACTTGGCCCTGCGAGGAACGTGGCAGCATCTACTACCTGGGAGACCGGCGAGCTTCTGGACTACCTCAGCATACGCTGCCTGGCGTAAAACCAGCAGGTCTTGCTGGGCATACCTGGATGTGCGTCGGCGCTTTTTTTCAAGGGAACCCAGCTAATGGAGGCAGATCTCCTTCTGATTCCCTTTAAAAGCCAGCTCAAAGGGGTACCCTCGAAAAAAGACACCATACGTCGAGGTGTTTCTTTTGGACAAAGCGTGCAATGTCCTGAAGCGGATCAACCTGGTGGATTAGGAATGTTATTTGAAAACGCCGTGCGGATCCGCTCTGAACTGCGTGGGATCCCCTCTTCATCAACCATTTTCTTTACTCATCCTCGGTTCCCATTGCATGATGTTCAGTGGAAGTATATGAGATCCACGCCAACAACAAAGCATGAGTTTGAGAGAGAGAGAGAGAGAGAGAAAGAGAGAGAGAGAGAGAGAGACTTTTTACGAGAGACTCACACATGCATGCATGCATGCGTGCGTGCGTGCGTGCGTACGTACGTACATACATACATACATACATACATACATGCATACATATGTATATATATATGTATATATATATACTTAGTTTTAGATATATCTCTTTAATTATTTATTGGCCGTATTGAACGAGCTTATCAGCTCGCCTGCAGCATCCCCTTGTGAAAGGGGTGATCTTGGGCACATCGAAAGCGACCGCAACCAGCTGGTGCTGCGGTTAGGTACCTGGAGTTGGTGCCCCCCAAGGCTCATGCCGTGCCACTCCGACAAGTGCCCGGACGGTTCCAAATGGCTCGGAGAAAGCCATTGTCGCAACCGACTTGTTGCAGGTGCCTCGATTTGTCGGTTGGATTATACTTCCCGGAGCCTCCAAACAGGCCCTTTCAGGTGCCAAGAGTCGAGCTCGCCGATATGCTGATTATTTCTTTTGGCGAGCGATCCCCGAGCCGGGGGGAAACGAGCTCATGATGGATCCTGCACTTGGGATCCCGTACTTCTCAATGCGGAACCGCAGAATTTCTAGGTGAATGAACCCCCCAACTTCGAAGCTAAAAGGCCGATTGGCATCGAGTGCAATGTTTAATTCGAGCTACTTTCATTGTAGAGCTTGCAGATACCCGGGTACTTTCAGAGTGGCATGTTCGAGCCAGTATCGCTTTGGGGCGATCGCTTCCATCGCTGCCGATGATGTGTGGGGCTTCCACTCCCAGGCTTTTTTGGGGATAGGGTGGGGGTCCGAAACCCAGGACGCTCCGGTTTCGCCGCGGCCGAGGAGCTGCGAGGGACCATCCATCGGCCAACACGGTGGTGTCCATCTGACGTGAGGGGGGCGAGAGATCGCGCTTCGCCGCAGTGAACAAGCAGCCGGTTGCCAGTGGGACATCTTCCATGTCCATTTCCGGTTTGAGAATGAAACTAAACAGCCAGGCTCGGGCCTGCAATACATTTGACTTTTTTATGGGCCTTCATGGGAACAATCCCTTTCTATGAGACTGATGAAAGCCCGGACTAGATGCAAGTAAATAGATGATAGACGTGCACGGAACAATGGATAAATTGATATACAACTATATATTTATATAATGTAAATGTGTGTATGAATCCTCCAAATACCCATGACCAATTCATATGAGGATATATTCATAATATGTTTGCATATGGACCGCGAGAGAGAGAGAGAGAGACAGCGAGAGGGAGACTCGTTTGGAAAATCCGTTTCTTGCTTCCAGTTTGTTCACAAGCACCGGGCGCTTCATGCCGACTCGCGCAGTGAAACACGGAGCCTCGCCAAAGGGCGCGGTGAAGGGGCGCAAACGAATGAGAGAAACTGCTCTTGGCGTGGGGATGTTTCTGGGGTCAGTTTGGTTGGAAACGATGGGTTGGTCTCAAAATAGAGGAATTTTCGGAATATGTTTCCCCCTGCAGTTTCTCATTACAACCACCCCAAAAAGGGTACCCTTCAAAAAAGACACTCCCAGATGGTGCTGGTTTCTGCTTTGTTGCAATCATTGACTAGGCCATCGATTCGCCAAAAGGACACCTAGGGCTCTTGGCAGTTGCAGGCGGAGCGTTTGTGCGCGCAGCTCGAAGTAAATTTGTGCTGGGCGTCAATATTAACTTCGAATTTGTTCCGAGGAAGAGCCAATTATTGAGCTCCAGATTTACTTAAAGCTGATATATCAAAATGTTGAGAACCAAATTCTGCCGTCACAACTGCCACCTCTGTAAGAATCATTGTGGCAGATACCGACCTCGCAAAGGGTTTTTTGTACCGGTTTCTTTCGTAGGGAACCCAAGGCAGGTGAATTCATCTCAATTTCCTCACTTCCCCAGCAGGACATTTTGGGAAGATCAGCAGCGAGCAGCACCCTGGGCCTTTCAAGAAACGTCAGATTCCTTTCCGCTTCCATATGATTGTCTTGGAGGGTACCCTTCAGGTGGGTCAAAAAGGGAACAAAGAGGAAAGCCACCATTTTCTGGGTCACCCAGTTTTGACACACACACACACATACACGCACGTGCGCATATATATATATATGCGTAAGTAGGTATGTTTGCTGGCTCCCTTTTGCATGTCCTCGAAGTGGTCATGTTTCGCGACCAGAAACATTGTTCAGCTTTCCTGGAGTCTCCTCCTCAACAATAGTTAAATGTATGTGTGTATATATATATATACATATTTGAAGTAGACGAAATATGACTCTTACTTTCAAAATATGGTTTCAGTGTACCCCAGATCCGGGCCAAGTTTTGTTGTGGTCCCGGGCAGACGCAGACGGCATGTGTTTGGCTCCAGGCAAGTGTCACAAGGTGGCAAGATGGAAGTGTTGAGAAATCTTTTGCACGGGATCTGAAAAGAAGCATTTCCACCACGGGAGTCAATTTGACCGTAGCAGGCAGACCCAGAACCACGGACAAAAAACCGCCCAGTCACATGGCGGACTTCGAGCCCCTTGCCCGACCTCGGAAGTGCAGTGGACGTGCTAGGTAGGTGCCTTTTGGTGATGACCCAAAAGAAACACGAGATGTGGATGGATGAAATCCGCTCGCACCACCTAAGAAACCATGGTTGCAACCATTGTTTGCTGATATGTACAGGGGAATCATCATTCCAGGGTTTCTTAGGTGGTGCAGGATTTCGTCCGTCCACAGTATGGGGGTTTCTCAAAGTGGTCCCCCAAAACGCTGACGGTGTCCTTTCGGCTTCTCTTTAAATACCAACTTGTCAAAGGCATCCGAAACACATGAAAACATGAAAACTTTTGCTGTTGACTTTCGGCTCCCGCTTCCTTGCACTCCAAATTATGGTGGAAGGCCCCACTTGTTTTAGAGTAACCTCCCAAAAGCTCTTGGGAGCCCCTTTGTTTAGAAGAATCCACTGTTGAATTCCTTTTCATAAGCGCCAACAGTCCCAATTAGTTGTCTGCATCAAAGATGGGGCCCCATGCAAACGGTATGGGGGGTTACCGACAGTCTGTGCTTAATTTTCGAGGGGCGCGACGAGTCCCAATGCTCTTACTTTTGGGACTCTCATATTCTGACCGACGCGTGCGCTCAGCCAGGCTGTTCGCGGTCTGATGTTTATGGCAATCTTTCCCACGGGGATGGGGGGGGTGAGGGTGAAAGATAAAACGGGCTCACCCTTGCTTGGAGATCTGTTGTTTCAGGGTTTGGAGGTCTGTTGATTCCCTTTAGTTTGCTTTCTTTGTGTCCTGGAATGTTTTACTGTTCTCTTTCTTTGGTTTTCCCAACAGCAACAGATTCACAGTTTTCTCCTCGGCCTAGCAAGATTTCCCCTGCCAATTGTTCACTCAGGAACGAGACGTTTGCGGCACAATCCGAGTAGATGGTAACAAGGGGACGGGACACTCTTTTCATGGTTGCCCACTTCTCAAGAATCCGAGCGGACAAGTTTTCGGAACGTCAACAGGCCTTCTGACCCATTCTTTGGATTTGAACGGGGTACATAAAAAGACGAATTGAAGCCGAGGTTCATAGAACACTCCCCTTTCAGGGGGCCCAAAGTGTGCGTCTTGGGGAAGTTTGGCGCCAGGTTGGTTCCCTGTTCACCTGGCTGTGTCTTTCTGTTGGGCCTCGGCCCCCCCCCTTTTTTTGGTAGACTTTTTGTTGGTAGGTTTCAAAGGGAAATCAGCATAAAACACGAAATTCATTTTGGGGGGTGCGCACCCCTTGTTCATGGGTGTTAAAGAAAGCCCACCATTTTGGGGGGGAGAGGGAGAGGCCGGCAGGGGATCCAACATTAAAATCACCCCTCGGTTTTTCTCCGAGGCGGGCGAAGCTTTCGGAGACCATGCAAGGCCCGGGATGGAGCCTAAGCTCCCAAGGCTTAGCTTAAGCCAAACTGCCCCCCCCCCCCCATAGCCTTGGAGGTTCCGGGATTGAATTACGGAGATAGAAGATGTACAGCAAGGCCTAAATCTCTACGCCTATCCGAAGTCGTTTCTGTTTCTGTGTGCTTTCGGATATCAACGGGACCATTTATTTGCCAGGGGCTCGCTGTGTGACCCAGCCCAGGGTGACCACCTGGCAGTATGTGTGTGTGTGTATATTGGAATCTCACAGCCAGCTTCATTTGCAAACAAGGAGATCACAAGGTGTTTGCTCGGAAGTGTGGACATACATGGCCAGATTTGCTCATTCCTTTGCGGTGCCTCTTTAGGCTTCCAGCACTTCCCAATTGGCCAGCGAGATACCTATGAATTTTGCTAGGGGACGAAAAAAGGTTGGCGGAAAGAACTTTTATGTAAAAAAGAATCGCAAAAAGGGACCCCAAAGCAAAATTCATACCCAACGGTGTTTCCAAGTCTTAGTCTAGCGTGGGAAGATCCATCTTTGCTGTGCAAACATGTCCTGCAACCTCTGACAACTTACCAGCCAAGGGCAAGTTGAAAAGACGTTTTAGAAACCCAGAACGACCTCCCAGTGGCCCGTTGCTTGTTGTCCTTGGCCATGTGCCTGCCTGGTCTTGTGTTGGCCCCAGTCCCATGTCAGGAAGTATGTAGTAGGTGTCCAAGGGCCGGACATGATTCATGCGAAACCTCAAGGTGACCTGGTTCGCGGGAAGCCCGGGACTGGACAACACAGTTCCCATGTGTTGGTCAAAGTATCCAGTGGATTATGGTCCATTTGGAAAGGGAGATTGGGGAGTCACCAGTTTTTTTTTTTAAGTAAGGGATCTCCCCGTGTCCTGTTCGTAACCGCATAGTTTGATGCCTCATGTAAGCGCTTCACTATCTGCACCTAGGTACCCTTGACCATGGAAGAATTGGGCGAATGCATCACATGAGCACGCAATGGTTCCTTGACATATCTCCAAGGTTACCCTCCCACCAGCTAACATGGAAGTGCACAGACCCCTGGAGAAAGACTACTTTCCTCTTGGAAAGGGCCTTTTTTTGCACTTCCATGTTAGTTGATGGGAGGGTACATGAAGGGACCCAGACACATTGTGTTCCTCCAATTCTGGAGCAAATTCGGGGCAAGTCCTCAAGCTGGTTGGCATTCCTTTTTTTCTTTTTTCGGTGAACCCCCTTAGGGGCATTCCCATTTTCCCGGTTTCTGGCAACTGGGTGGGTTTTGATTCAACTGTCTCCTCCAAAACGATGTGCGTTGTGAGGGGCTGAATATGAATTAGAAACAGAATATTGCTTTTGGAGTATTTCTGATTCGCCTTAGGTTTGGATGGGGGAAGGAAGCCCTGGTTCTTGAGGGTAGATGGGAAGCTAGCAGAGTACCATGACCAAAGTAGCCTTTTTTCTTGGGGTTGGGCGTGGTCATTAAACACGTCAACTCACTTAGTCACTTCCGTGGATTCGGAAGTGGTGTTTTGCTTAGACAAGGGTATACAACCCAATTAGACCCGGGTTGCCCGCAATTGGTAGTTTAGGGATTTGACCTGGGTAGATGGGAAACCCCTCCTTGACCACCAAACCGATAATCCAAATCACCCATTGGAAGGAAGCTCATAGACCTTTCGTTTAGGCAACCAGGGTAGACAACCCATTCGACAACCTGGCTTTTGTGGAACCCGGGTGTGGGTCAAAATGAAACCACCAAAAAAAAGCAGGTTTGAGTTCTTGGTTCCATTTACCAGGGTTTCATTTTGGGGTTACCCTGTTTTTGACCCACAGTCCCTGGATATTAAGAAAGGACCTACGGGAAGAACCATCGGTCACGCCCACAAAGGGCGCAAATCCAAACCGGGACTCAGCTCGCCAGGCCTGACGCTGGAGGGATGGTGTGGGGCGCTCAATGTTCGCGCCAATGAGAGAGACAGAGGCGCCAGCAAAAGAAACGCTTGAAAGAAGAAGAAAGGGAGACTACAACAGAAATAACAAATCAATCAATTGATTAAGAAAGCAAGGAAAGAAAGAAAGAAAGAAAGAGAAGCAGTTCGATCTCGCTCAGGTGAGGAGGCGCTCTGGCGATGGAAAATGGCGCTTGGGCCAGATGGACAGGCAAGGCCCTCGAACCCGTCTCCATAGACACTGAGGGACATGTTTCCAGGAAGCAGTGCCCAGCGCGGGGTGTTTTGCACATTCCCGCTTTATCTCATTGTTTCACGGTTGGGATACTTTGCAGATCACAAAGCAGCCAACTCATTCCTGCAGTGTGAGTTCTGTCAGATGCACAAAGAACCTCCTGCTGTCCATTGACCAAAAACAAGGGGAAACCTAGACAAATATATATATATATAAGGCAAGCCCTCGGCACTGTTTTTGTTCTCAACTTGTTGTTTTTTGCTTGTTGTTCTTGAGCTTGTTTTTGTTTATTTTCCTCAGGGTTTTTGGTGTCTGGTTTTGTTTGCTGTGTGTGTGTGTTCTCTGGATTTCTTGAGGTTTTTTCCCGGAAGCATTGCGAAGGGTTCTTCTTCTAAAAGCGGCTGCCAACTTCACCTGCCAACTTCTCATGCCAACTTGTCGAGAGTTACTTCACCTGCCAACTTCTCATGCCAACTTGTCGAGAGTTACTTCACCTGCCAACTTCTCATGCCAACTTGTCGAGAGTTACTTCACCTGCCTACTTCTCATGTCAACTTTTTGAGAGTTACTTCACCTGCCAACTTCTCATGTCAACTTTTCGGCTGTTATCTCATTCTACTAAAAGCACAAGCTAATTTGTCGGGTGTTACTTCACTATCCTAAAAACACAAGCTAACTTTTCTGTTCTACCTTCACATCTCGACTCTTAATTCTTCTTCTTTTTATGGCGGGGGTAGGCCCGACGGGAGCTTACGAAACGCACCCCTCTGCGGAGATCGTGCGTGTCGAAGCGCTCTCGCTGTGGCGCCGTGCGAATTTGTCTTGACCTTGGCGAACCCTCTGCGGAGATCGTGCGTGTCGAAGCGCTCTCGCTGTGGCGCCGTGCGAATTTGTCTTGAGCCTTGGCGAACCCTCTGCGGAGATCGTGCGTGTCGAAGCGCTCTCGCTGTGGCGCCGTGCGAATTTGTCTTGACCTTGGCGAACCCTCTGCGGAGATCGTGCGTGTCGAAGCGCTCTCGCTGTGGCGCCGTGCGAATTTGTCTTGACCTTGGCGAACCCTCTGCGGAGATCGTGCGTGTCGAAGCGCTCTCGCTGTGGCGCCGTGCGAATTTGTCTTGACCTTGGCGAACCCTCTGCGGAGATCGTGCGTGTCGAAGCGCTCTCGCTGTGGCGCCGTGCGAATTTGTCTTGACCTTGGCGAACCCTCTGCGGAGATCGTGCGTGTCGAAGCGCTCTCGCTGTGGCGCCGTGCGAATTTGTCTTGACCTTGGCGAACCCTCTGCGGAGATCGTGCGTGTCGAAGCGCTCTCGCTGTGGCGCCGTGCGAATTTGTCTTGACCTTGGCGAACCCTCTGCGGAGATCGTGCGTGTCGAAGCGCTCTCGCTGTGGCGCCGTGCGATTTTCTTGCTCGCGAAACGGCTTTTGGAAGTTGTCTCGTGGTGCGCGCGCCTGCTTTCGCAATCCCGCGGTCCCGGGTTCGATTCCCCCCTGGTCCGCGGCAGCTCCGGCTTGAAAATCGCAGCTTTTAAGTACAAACGTAGTACGCGGAGCGTGCTCCTGCAGCTCCGGCTGGAAAATCGCAACTTTTAAGTACAGACGTAGTACGCGGAGGCTGCTGCAGCTCCGGCTGGAAAATCGCACTTTTTAAGTACAGACGTAGTACGCGGAGCGTGCTCCCGCAGCTCCGGCTGGAAAATCGCAACTTTTAGATACAAATGGCTGGAAAATCGCAACTGTAAATTGCAAATGTAGCACGCGGAGCGCCTCCGCCGCTCCAGCTTTTTGAGGGTTAATTACTTCACCTGCCAGTTTCTCATGCCGAAACTTCGAGAATTACTTCACCTGCCAGCTTCTCATGCCACCTTTTCGAGAGTTACTTCACCTGCCAACTTCTCGTGCCAACTTTTCGAGGAGTTACTTCACCTGCGAGCTTATCATGCCAACTTTTCGAGAGTTACTACACCTGCGAGCTTCTCATGCCAACTTTTCGAGAATTACTTTACCTGCCAACTTCTCATGCCAACTTTTCGAGAAATACTTTACCTGCCAACCTCTCGTGGCAACTTCACCTGCCAACTTTTCGAGAATTACTTCACCTGCCAACTTCTCATGCCAACTTTTCGAGAAATACTTTATCTGCCAACCTCTCGTGGCATGAGGGTTAATTACTTCACCTGCCAGTTTCTCATGCCGAAACTTCGAGAATTACTTCACCTGCCAGCTTCTCATGCTACTTTTCGAGAGTTACTTCACCTGCCAACTTCTCGTGCCAACTTTTCGAGGAGTTACTTCACCTGCGAGCTTATCATGCCAACTTTTCGAGAGTTACTACACCTGCGAGCTTCTCATGCCAACTTTTCGAGAATTACTTTACCTGCCAACTTCTCATGCCAACTTTTCGAGAAATACTTTACCTGCCAACCTCTCGTGGCAACTTCACCTGCCAACTTTTCGAGAATTACTTCACCTGCCAACTTCTCATGCCAACTTTTCGAGAAATACTTTATCTGCCAACCTCTCGTGGCAACTTTTCGAAAAATTACTTCACCTGCCAGCTTCTCATGCCAACTTTTCGAGAGGTACTTCACCTGCCAACATCGCCTGCCAACTTTTCGAGAGTTACTTCGCCTGCCAACTTCTCGCGCCAACTTTTCGAGAATTACTTCGCCTGCCAACTTCTCATGCTAACTTTTCGAAAGTTACTTCACCTGCCGGCTTCTCACGCCAACTTTTCGAGAGTTACTTCACGCGCCATCTTCTCGTGCCAACTTTTCGAGAATTACTTCACCTGCCGGCTTCTCACGCCAACTTTTCGAGAGTTACTTCACGCGCCATCTTCTCGTGCCAACTTTTCGAGAATTACTTCACCTGCCAGCTTCTCACGCCAACTTTTCGAGAGTTACTTCACCTGCCAACTTCTCATGCTACTTTTCGAGAGTTACTTCACCCGCCAACTTCTCATGCCAACTTTTCGAGGAGTTTGCCAACTTTTTGAGAATTGCTTTGCCTGCCAACTCCTCATGCTAACTTTGCGAGAGTTACCTCACCTGCATCAACTTGCCTCTATGCTTCCGGGCCACTCGTCGTCTAGTTTCAGAGTTGGGACTGTTCTCACACGGTCGAGCTGTTTTTACTCTTGCCACCGCGAGCATCTTTCCAGTAATCCATATCCTCCAATCCCTTAGTATTCCTCTAATCTTCTCGTAGCAAGTATTGCCTCAGTGTTCTCCCAATATTCCCCTCGTACTCTGCCAGTATTCCCCTTCGTATTCCCCCTTTTCTTTTATCCCCTCGTTTCACTTGTGTTCCCTTACTATTCCCTGAGGATTCCTCACTATGCCCTTAATATTCCCCCAGCATTCCCCTATTCCTTCAGTATTCTCTTACCCCTAGTGTTCCCTCCTCAATCCCCCTGCATTCCCTTAGTATTCCCCAAGTATTTCCTCTGTGCAAAGGGAATTGCCAATTTGTCGATGATTTCGACTTCATGTGCGGACATGAGACCAGATCAGATGAGACGCATTTGTCAGGCCATCATTCAAGCTATCACAGCCAAACAACCTGTTTGGAGAACCAGTGTTCCCGGCAATGTACGTTTTCATTATCTTGAGATCGCTGAGGACACTGCCCTCTCTTTGTTTAAATAACTAATTTGACACTAGCCCCCTTCAAAGGGCACAAGGGGTTGGACCATCCTATTTGGGCGGGGGGGGGGGGTGATGCCCGTTTAAGTTGGAGCTGAGTGATTGTTGGCCGGGGAGGGGTTCCTTTGCTTGGCATGGTCCTCCTAGTGAATCGTGCCTTGCCCCCAACTTTGAAAGCCCACCGGTCTTAACATATGATTGTCAACCGAGGACAAAAGACAGGGGGTTGGCATTGGAAAACTTAGGCTGTAGAAACTGTGTCCTCAAGACAACAAGTGTTCGCGGAGTGCCTCACTCACTCATTTCTGGCTTGATGACTCCCTCCCTCCACTCACTCACGCGCACACTCTCACTCTCAATCACTCGCACACTTTCACTCTCACTTACTCACACTTCGGACAGCCATCTCCGGAAGGCTCGACACGGAGCCTTGAATCAGCCGCACAGCAACCTCTGTCGGATCCGTTTGGTCCAGGTGAAGGAGCACAGTCGACCATCCTCGGTGCTGTCTCTTTTGCTCTTGTTTGTCCTGTTGCCGGGAGCCAAGCCAAGTTTGAGGGATTCAAATGAATGGGTGTGAAAGTGGGGATTTGTACAATCGTTAGGACACACAATGATCGGTGTTGGGCTTCCACACTGAACAGGCACTGGAGAAGCCCTGGTTGCAAATGTCCCACGATTTCCGGAGCGAAATCGGTGGAACGCGTGTTTGCAAGCCGCATTTTGGCAAGTGTGACAAGTTCTGCAACATCGCATGCACGTTGAGCTGTTTGGATGTCTATGGCTTTGAGCCCAAGCTGAGGCACCAAGTGGCGTGTTAACTATTGGGGGACTCCCTAATTAGCTGGGAGTTCTATCGTCCAGGACGCGAATGAAGGGGGGGTAAATTCAGGGCTCAACAGAGGGAGCGTCAATCATACAGGTCAAGATTTAACAAACCGCAGAACCAGTCGTAGGATACACCAACCTCAACAAGGCGTGATCTCAAACAGCGCACACCCCTTGTGCGCTCTCTCGCGCAGCGTTGGGTTGGGATTGATTGGTTCAGGGCGCCACGGACCAAACAAAGCTGTGGGAACCCCATCAAGAAACGGGTGAGTCTGCAAGTGTCAAAGGAGTCGCAGAGCCATGCAAACCGAGCGCGAAGGATTCTTGGCGAGTCAGAACCATCACCTTCCGTTTTGAAGGGTCTTATTCACACCGGCTTGAATTGTGCCCAAGTGGATTGCAAGCAGAGCACGAACACTCATGTTGCCCACAATGCCCTTGAGAGATGACTTGTTGAGCAGCCCTCCCATTGTTCTCTGAAGTAGTCGAACGAATGCAAACCGTGAGAATGCTGTAGAATGTTTCATGGTTTCCCCAGATCTAGCCTGGCAATAGAGTTGATTGTAACATGTAGAATCAGAAACAGTGCGTGCTTGTGGATGAATGTGGTATTTGATGGCATGCTTGTAGGCACGAGGGGCCTATTTGCCACATGCAGCATGAGCGCCTGCGCTCATGTTCTTACATTTCTTTCTCACGTACCAGTTGGAGCAAGCTCCGCAAAAAAGAATCAGAGAACCGTGCAACAAGCCATTTCAATCTATTTGATCCAAAAGGAATGCCCCGCTGAGTACCTCCTTGTGTCCAAGCTGACCCGGAGAGAGGACGAGCTTGCCCGTGATGCATTGAGCTTCCTGCTCTTGGTAGCCAGAGGAGTCCCCAACGGGACAGTTCCTCTAAGCCCTTTCCGGAGGGAGCCTGCTTTCTGGATGATGCCATTGTGGCAACTGCATGTCAAGAGTTGTGGGGTCTGTGATCCGTTTGCCTTTTAATTGGGAGGAACGGCTAGTTCCCAGCGTTTTCCATGAGAGCGAGCTTTTGTTTGCCAAGATTTCTTGGAGGAGTAGGCCGGCCTCATTGAATCAAGGACCCGTGTTCCAGGAAAGTTGTTTCCTTGGCCTTGTTGAAACCCCCGAGTTATCTGGACGCAAGCGGCTCTAAGCCGGGGCTATTGGTTCGAGATCAACGCTTGAGGTGTGCGGCAGCTGCGGCCTTGGTCGACTATCCGTTCCAAGAGGTGATGCAGGAGCGAGTGGAGCAGGCTCATTCGGGGTGAATATATACAGGGGCTTCGAAGCTCAAGAAATGATCGAGATGCAAAGCTAGAACCTTGATCTTTCCCTGCACCCTTGTGCCAAGTCCTTTCAACCCTCTTGTAATTCACTCAGAATCGGATCAGCTTTGGGGCAGTGATTGTGCCAGGCGGGGTGTAGGTCTCATGTTTTCGTGACTAACAGATCCTCGTGAAAGTCATCAAGTAGTCGTAGGTATGAGCCCATTGCCATCCAAAAAGGGCGTTCCCCAAAGAAGGCCTCAGGTTCCCGAGACGTCTCTTGCGCAACGACCTGATTGGGTCCAAGGCAAGCCTCGTATTTCCAGGTCTGGGCAAGTGATCAAACTCCCTCAGGACTGGTGGCCTACTCCGGAGCCGCCCATCGAGACGGACGCCGAGTCGGCACCTCGCTCAGGCGCGAACCCAGGGGGTGGCGTCGCGCGTCGCGCGAGGAGGGGGGTGTCGGGGCGTGGCTTTTGTGAAGGTACCCTTTTGCTGGTAGGTTTTGAAGGGAAACCCAGACGAACCACCAATTTGGGCGGCCCAAGCCCTCAACAAGGGTACCCTCAAAGAAACAGAAGCTCGATATAGCCCCCAGAACCTCGCCGCCCAAGGTGCTTGTGGTCAAAGGGGCCTGACAACCCTCCGACGGGGTCGTTGCCCTCGTTCATGCATGGAAGCTGACAGGAGGCTTTTGGAAGGCAGGCCTCTTTGAGTGTTCATGTCCATGTTTGTTGGACAGAGGATACACATGTAAACGGCTTTTTAAATACAGTGTTACAAATACTTCCCCCTACAAACTGACACGCCCTATTGAGCAAATTCGTTCTTTTTAGACCTCTAGAACAGCGTTTCCTAGGGGAGAGTGCTCAAATGAAAACCTAATTGTTTACACCTCCTGGTTTCCTTCGGGCAACCAGGGCTTGGTTGCTTAAACATTGATTGCCCAGCTCTGCTGGCTTTTAGAAAGTCTTGTTCAGAACTATTGGGGTGGTGGAGCTTGTATTGCTGTCGAGTCTTTATTTAATGCTGGCTGAAATATGTTTTAGCGGAAGAAGAAGCTCAAAACTATGAGTTTGGAACTTTAACCAGAAATTAGAACGAATAGGGGGCTTTTTTGGGGCCAAAGATTGTTTGTCCAGATGCTCTCTCAGTGCTTGTTCTATTGCCCTTGTGTGCGATTGCAAACATCTGACGATATTTCAAGGTCCGTTGGCAGCAATGCTAGTCCTTTGTGACGGTGGCGCGCATCGTCCACCCTTTGAAGCGGATCAGCAATACGACCAGCTCATGTCCACCAGCCCTGCCGGCTTTGCCGTCCCTGGAACATGGTTGGTGTGTCTCAAACTCGGGGCCCATGTTTTGGAGGGCTACCGTTCTTTCAGGTTGGCTTCAAGGAAAAACAGCAGGAACAGCACCATGGGGGGGGGGGCACAGCCAAGCCTAGAGGAGAGGAGCTGGTCCCTTTGAGGGTTGCAACCATCGTCGGGAATTTCGGGACTGGGTATAGCCTGTTTGGGAGACGCTGCTTGGATCAGTCGCAAAATCAAAACAAACAACAAAAAGGCGGCAAAAGACGACCCAAAGGAAGCCAACATTTTTTTGCAAGTCCCAAATCTGCAGAAATGGTTCCTTGGGCCGGGAACCTGGCAGGCATGCTGATGCTGGTGCTTTGCATTATTACCACTGTGCAACTCGTAGCGCTTGTACTGGCGCAGGACTCAGCTGTCGGTTCATGTAGCAATTTCTCGTGTTTGGTGCGGGGTACCCTCCCACCAATGAACATGGAACCTGACAAGGGGGTCCTGGAAAACAATTTTGCTTTTAAAGGGACCCCCTGTAAGGTTCCATGTTAATTGGTGGGAGGGTACGTTTGCGGGACAACGGGGATTCCGCAATTGTTAGTTGCTGCCTTCTGATATGTGTTAGAGCCCCACCCCCCCGACCCCGCACCAAGTGCAGGGCAGCCTTGATGATCCTCTGTGTTTTGTTGCGCGGTATCTTCCATGTTTGGGTGGCTTTGACAGTTCGTTGGACCCTTGAAACAAGTGCCCAAAATCGTTCATACACCCACACACACACACACACACTTTCTCAGCCGTTGTGTGAGAAAGTTATGCCTTGAAGTGGATCCTGCATCCCAGTTTAAATCAAACCGGCTTTGCACCAGTGGGCTGTGCAGCGGGATTCGCCCCTCTGTGACGGTGGACCAGAACCGGAACCTTCTGTTTGAATCTTGGCTATAGGTTTGGCCAGCTTTACCTTCGGCCTTCCGGTTCCCTGCTATGCCCGAGGGACGTCCAATCAATGTTCGGCCGATCCTGCGTAGCATACAGGGCATAGATAGCCGTTGATTTGTCTAAACCTTTTCAGCACGTATCCTACTAAGGGATCAAACCACACCACAAGTCTTCTCTCTATATAGTAGTTGAACATCAATGGCCCTGGCAAGCTTCTTGTTCTGGTCATGTGCCAAGTTGGAAATGTCTCAAAAGGCTGGATCCCCTTTTTTCAGGTAACTCCTGTTTGGTGGTTTGGATTGGTGGGAGCATCTCCAAACCACCAAGGCGAAAGGGAAACCAAAGGAAGCCTCGACCAGGGCATGATTTTGAGAAACACCAACACTCCTGAGCACTTGCTTCCACCACTCGTTTTGGATGGCTTGATGAATCAGCCATTTGCCTGCGTGAATCTCTGGATCATACCTATCGCTTGCTTTGACTCCGAGTCAGCTCTTCAGCTCGTGTAGGATGGCAGCACCATGTTTGCCCGGATAAAGAGCGAGGGGGCGACGCCCAGCGTCGAATGGTCGAATGCGGTTTGACTTTCGACATGGGGCCTTGGGGCAAAGGTTGTTGCAACCGACCCGACCGCGGCTAGGGATTCGTGAGCAATGGAGTTCCGTGAGGTGACATGTTTGAACACAAGCCAACACCTTACTTCCCGAGTTTCCGCACTTTATATTAACCAGGCTCCCGCCTGCTGCCGCCGACCCTCGGCGCATTAAGGGAAAAGTCACAAGGACCGGTCCTGAAACACGTCCGCAAACCCAGGGACCACTTATAAGATCCTCTACGACCACGAACAAGGATTAACGGAAAAGTCAGAAATATGGCAGCTAGTCCGTTAATTACCGCTTGGGCCGGCTTGCGCCCAAGTCACTTCGAGTTGGCCCGGGAGCAGTCGCCTCTCCCGGGGTCGCCCTGAAACTGGCCCTCCCGAAGTTGCCCTGGACCGGTCGCCGGCAGGGACCGGGACAGGCTGGTCCCAGTCTGGCGCGGTTTGACTCGACGTATTGGACTCTCTTGCAGAATAGATCCAGGGATCCTCTACTACCACAAGGATTAACGGAAAAGTCAGACAGATGGCAGCTCGTCCGTCAATAACCGCACGGGCCGGTTTGTGCCGAAGTCGCGTTGAGCCTCAACCGGTTGCAGGGAGTGACTGGGACCTGGGACCCTGTCCAGTGTCCTGAAACACGGGTGCCAGTCCGGAAAGGTGTCTGGAGCGGTTTGAGGTGGCAACAGAGCAGTTTGAAGTGGGACCCGAGACCAGCGCTCACACCAGGCCCGGGACCGGCTTCAGTCCTGAAAGCGGTCCTGGCCGGTCCCAGGACCGGTCCTGGGACCGGTCCCAACACCTGGGACTGGTCCCGGGACCAGTCCCAGGACCGGTCCCCAGGACCGGTTTTGGCTGACTACAAGTAATCTGAAACAGCAGAACCAGGGTCCCAGCACCAGTCCCAGGACCGGTCCCAGCTTTTTGTGCGTTCGACTATCATTGATTCCAATCACTTCCAGTTGCATCCCACGCCGGTCCCCTCTGCAGGAGGCTGGGACGGGAGGCAGAGGGTCGGCGGATTTCTTGCTGAAAAACAATTTTAGTGGCCAAAGATTGCACGTCGACCAAGCCACTGAGGAAGTGCGTGGACGTTCCGGAAGTAAGATGTGAGTCTTCACTGGACTCCTGTAGATACAAGCGAGATCTGGCGACATCTCGTCGGTGATGACTGCAAAGGCAAACCTGAGCACACGATTTGGTTACCCCCCAAAAGTGGTGGTGGATTCCTCTGAGTATGGAACCCAGACTTTTCTGGAGCAAGACTCTGGCGCGCCCGAGGTGGTGAATTGCTGCGGGGGCGGAGGTGATAGCAAATGCGAGGCTCGCTTCCGGCCATCGTTGATAGCAATCCAAGCCACAAAACAGTCGGCTCCTTTGTGGCTTCCTTCCCCATCTGAGAAGCTCCCGGATGGAAGACTTACTTAGGGCTCTGAGCCCTGGGAATCTATGCGAGGGTTGGCTTGGGTTGGTGTAAAGCCCTGTGACACACTGTTCGCTTAGTGAATTTCCGTCCCTCAAGAAAGTTCTTGCCTGCTTGTTGTTTTAATGTACAGCTCTGATTGCAAAGAGAAAAAAGTCAGCAATCAGTGAAATTGTGTTTTGTGGAGGTCCCTTCAGTCGTTCGCCAAAAGAGTGTCTCTCGAAATGGTGGACCCCCGTTTGGTCGATATTTACAGCGAACCCAAAGAAAGGTGAGTGCAGGAAAAGGACAGTTTCAGTTTGCAAAGCCGCCCTTTTCATATGTTTTTGGGTAAGGCACTCGAATACCAAATTAGATGGCGCATATGTTCATTGTTTGCTCCTGTTTGTGGTGACTCACTACCACAAGATGTGTTTTGTTCTGCTGACCTGCAACCTATGATGGCAAAAAGAAATTCGGCGAGCTAATCCAACAGCAATTTGACCTTGGATTGACAATCCTTGCAGCTAAACGCCATTGACGTTTCCTTGAGAACCCAAATATCAAAAGATCGGCTTTGGGCAAGTCAGCTTCGGCATCAAAAACGAGTTGCGGCCCCAGGGTTTTCTCCAACGCCAGCATTACACCCAATTGCACAGGCGGCTTCGGAACGTGTGTGTGTGTGAAATCACGGGTCTCATGCACCGAATTCAGATAGGACTGTTTCATGGGACTGTGGCCACAACATAGGCTAGCAAGGGAATAAACAGAGAATAATTAATATGTTCTGATTCTGTTTTATATGTAGTCCACCCTAGAATAGACTCCAGATAGGATCAGACAACAGGTGTTCCTTTTGTGAACCAAGAAACCGACCCGTGTAAAACCTTGCATTGGTGGGCCTGCTTCAGCTGCCAAGCGCTTACTAGCCAGAAGCTTGCCGAAGTAACGGCCTGGCCTTATAGCAGAACAAGGACCCTCACTCTTAGTCTCAAAGTTTTCTTCGAGTCCCCTCTAAAGAGAATCCCTGTCCAATTATTTTTGCTATGGGAGGCGTATGTTGCGGTTGATTCACCTCAAAACTTCGCCAAATTACCCCGTTCAGGCATCTCCTCTGAAGTTCTGCATCTCAATCATGGAAACTGGAAGCACTGGAATATGCTTCACTGGTTAATTCGCGCAAACAAGAAATCAATATCGCTCACTTCTCTCAAACCGCTGAAAGTTCCTCACTTGAAGATTGGTTTCCCATCCTCTTCACAGGTGAAGGATGAGATCGAGGCCAGGAAGGCTCAGGAGAGGTGACTCAGATGTTCCACTTGTCGCGACCTAGTGGTCCTCCCTCTCCCTTTGGATTCAGCTGGTGCCTGTGCCCGCCCTTTAGCCCAGTTGGGCAGAGGTCCTCAGTTTCCATCCGATCACTCCAGAATTCTTTGCGGTGCATTGTGATCAGGATGGATCCCTTGGCTCCCTCGGCTCCCCTATGCGTTTGTGATCAAAGGATGGTGCCCTTGACAACCTGCGCTACTGGAAAACAGAACTCGGGAACTCTGCGTTTGGCACTCGGGGGGATTGAGTCAGTTTTACCCTACCGTGATCATTTGTGGCTCAAGTGCTGGCAAAACAGGGGTTTGGCCGTTCGTTTGCCCAAAGTCTGTTTCATTGCCCAATGTAGTGTCGAGAAGAGTCAGGACCCGTAAATGTCACTTGGATTGGTTTTGCTCGCTTGCTTGCTTGCTGGCTTGGCTTGGCTTGGCTTGTGTGATTGTATGTGGCCAGTGGCTTGCTGTCAGTCAACTCACACGTGTTGCTTCGGTCAGGTGCCGACTGACTGACAAGCTCCGGCTATGAACTTTTGAACCCAGCTCGAACAAAGCTGCGCAATACTTCCGCATTTTCGAGCGAAGTTACATAGTTCCGGAGTTGGATTTCTTCGCAAGATGGCCGCGTATTTTTCCCGAATCCTGGCTAGGTGAGTCCCGAGCATGTTCCAACACCCGACGTGATCTCAACTGCATAAGGGTGCCTCAGTCTTCCAAGACGGATCTACATCGTCCTTTTGGGAAGATCAGGCTTTGCAAATTCATGTCTATGTTTGAAGCGCGGGGGAATGTTGCAGTGGGGCTATCATGTCCCGGTCAATCTTTTGTCAGGTCGGGACTCAACTCCAGTTTATCGTGGCCAGTGCTTGCAAATCTGGGTGAGAGATGGCTGGGCTCTCTCAGGGTACCTATGTACAAGTTGCAACTTGCGACCGTATTTGTAGCAGCTGTGAGTTGCCTCTGCCAAAAGCTTACCAAAGCGAATAGCCTCTCACTGACCTCCCGAGCTCATGAATACCATGAAAGGCGACAGATAGGCCTCATTTTCGTTGGGCCGACGAGTCGGCGAGTTCCGCAAAGTGCGTTGTTCGGCGTTCCGTGGCCTGTACCGAAAGCGGATGGAAGAGGACACAGAGGCTTGAAGACTCGAATCTTCAGAAGGCCTGCCTTCTGTCCAGTTCCGCAGGGTAATCGTTTCATGCATTTTTTCAAGGGTGGCTCAAATTGTTCATAGGATGTGTCAATGATGAATGTCCTTTATTTCTTGTTCTGAAACCCATGCATTTCGCCCCACCCTGACTTTTTCCATTCAAATCTGCATCGCGATGAGTCCCTTGTGCCGCTCAGTCGAGCAGCGGCCAATGCATAGCCGTGTGCGCGAATTCCACCCGCACATGGGCTGGGAATGAAGCCGTACCACCGTGGCTGATTTCCAAATGCAAGACGCCTTGACGGTGCGTATTTGATGATCCGTGGGATGTTTTGGCTTTATTTGGATATGTGGACTGCACTTGCAGTATGCAACTGATTTGCTTCGTTGGTTGTCAATGTGCTTGAACCTTGGCATTAATCAGTTGGACTTGGTGTTCGGTTTGTTTCCGCGCGCATGGGCCGCAGCAGGACCCTTTAGGATGGTATTCACATGCGCCCAGTGCTTCCGCGCATATGAATGATTTCGATCGATGCGTTTTCTCCGGAGCGCACTCCAAGGGCATGAAGGCGCACAGCAAGTTTGCGCATGGGAAGCTCCCTCCGAGATGAGTTCATATCCGGTCCTGCGGTTCGTCATAGCCCGCAAACACATTCTGGGTACTCATACCAGCATGAGAACACGGCAAAGTTGCACGTCGACTGCTTCAGTGCGCTTTCCAAATGGCGTTGTTTTTCGCCTCGGGTCTCTGAGAATATGGCTCTGTACAGTGACTCAACCAGATTCCCTCCCGGCCGGACCTATTTCTGAATTGGTTGGTAGACTGGTAGACGTGGTAGACTAATCGGCCTTGGCGCTGTGGATCGTTGCATGTTCAGAGTGCTTTCCATAGCAAGCTGAACGGCTGTGACACATCTTTGCGACCCATGTTTTTTCGTCGGGAGTGTGGGTAATGATCCCTGCTTAGTAACCCTTCCCCAGGTCGTCAAGCTCCACGCTTTGAAAGGGGGTCTTTGTGAGCTTGTCAAACCTTGATGAGCGGACTCTAAAATTGGTTGTTTCTGGATAGCTGGTTTTCAAAGAGATGTATTATTGCAGTCCTTGGACTACGAAAGAAACTAATATTGGATGAAGTAATGGCAATTACTTGTTGTGTTTTTGTTGCATTTTCCGAGGGGCAAGGCTTGCGCTAGTCGGAGGGGTTCTGAGGGGTGCTTTGTTTTGCCAACCTTGTCTGAAATGAAAAATCGTCTTGATGGTCGGACTCCGGGGGGAGCAGGAAAGCATTAATCAGGGGGGATTAAGATGGGTCTGTCGTTTTTGGTACCCTTTGTGGGGTGTTTAAAGAGAAACCAACACACCAAGCGGCCTGCAGAGGACAAGTCCATGTCCGTGGGACTCCGATTGAAACAGGGCGAGCAACAGACCTCAAGCCGCATCGTTGAGTCGCAACACGAAGACACGAAGGCCGCTACAACGTCAATGCAGTGCCGAAGGGCCGAAGGGGATTCCTGGTGGTTGCAAGGCGGTTTGCAGGCCCATCGGCTCGAACCTCTATGAACCTGGTTCAAGCGGACACCGGGTGTACCACATCTGCATGGCTTGTTTGGGCCACGTCACGTCGCAGTTGGCGCCGGCCCCTTCTCGCACCTTGCCAACTGACAGGGGATAGAATGCAAACGCCTGGTGTGCGCAAACTGCATATGCCTGAGCAGGCGCATGACTCAGGGGAAGCTCCAGCATTCATCACAATTTGATACGTGAGTTCAGGAAGATAGGTCCTCCAGTTCGGCAGGCTGCGAAATCATGGCACCACACGAGGCCGCGGCCGGCGAGGGAAAGCACACGCCGTTGGCAGCAGTTGAAGCAATCTGCGCATCGCCACCTTTACCGCACGGGCCCAGGGATCTCACCGACATACTCTACACGAGTAGTTGGCTGTGTAGGGGCCGAGTATCCGCCAGATCGAACCATGCTGGTAGACATGCTCAAGCAGGGGCTGGCTCCCATGCGCAGGAAGCGCGGGTGGCCCCAAGGCAGACGCAAAAGCCATGAACCACTGCAACAACACCATCCAAACTGGCCGTAGTGGATGAGCATCCTGCAACGCACAGAGTGTAGTCCCCAGCACACGTGTAGAGCATGATGTCGCCCTTCCTCACGCCCGGGCACTGCGCACAGATCTTGGCAACAGGCACGCAACCCTTGGGCGACCAATGGCGAAGGCCAAGCCCTCCGAATTGCCATGGAGGACATGTCATGGCTCGATTCCTGCAAGGGTGACAGGCGAGGCCCATGACGGCCCAGAGCAAGACGCCAAAAAGGGAACGAACCATTTCGACGGGTCCCGTGTTTTGCCACATACCCGAATCCGCGTTTCCTTTCAAGGTGCAACCTGGGGTGGTTTTGTCCAACTGGAGATTTGCTGCACATGCTCAAGGCCGAAAGGTTCGAAGAGAGCGGCCCGGGCCCAGGTTGGATATGTTTGTCCGGAAACTACAAGGAAGCTGAGCACGAGTCCATTTGTAGGGGTCCCAGAATGTTGAGAAGCATCCAAGTGTTGTCCATGTTCCTGTTGGTCTCCCTTGAAACACTTCCAACCGGGCCCACGGCCGAACAGTTGTTGGACAATCCTAAGACCGTCCTGCGAGGCCGGCCTTCGCGCTTAATTCGATGGGCCTGCTTTGCGGCTCCCTGCGGCGAGACTGTGAAGCATGCAACTTGCAAAAGCAGCTCCCCACCCTCCAACTAATGTACTGGGAGGGCAGTTCACATCCTGGAGACTTCAGGATATGTTCCCGGCACTAGGGTGGTTGTTTTTGCGGCTTTGGCCAGATCTCGCAGAGGAGCATTTGGTTGGCAGATTTTGCCCGCTTGCAACTTGACGGCGTGCCAGACTTTTTTCACCCGGCAGCATCGAGTTCGGAAAGAGCCCATCGACTGGATCTTCATTTTTTCAGGTTGTTTTGTCCATGTTCAATGGCTCTGCTTGGAGATCCTATGCGGAGAATGTGTTTCTATCAAGCACGGTGTTTGTGTTGTGTGTGTGTGCGCCTGCTTTGTCTCAACGTGGTCAACATACACATATGCAGCAGTAGTCAACCAGGTCTTCTATTTGTTTTGAAGTTGCCAAGCCTCAAACAGGCCTTTTGACGTGTATGGCAGTGATCATGGCTCACTTGAGTTTGCAACAGCGTCATTCAGTGGACAGGCCACATCTTTGATTTGTTCCTCTCCTATGCCCTACCCCTCATGCCGGTATCGAGGCGTCTGTTTCTGCCTGCACCACTTCTAGGCTGGCCGCGTCACCTTGTCCTTAGCCCAGTCCCTAAACCTTCCCTTGGCCCTTCAAGTTTCCGTGGTTGTATCACCTGCCTGAGTTGTTTTGTTCTTGCAAAACCGGGCACCCGGAAGGTTCACCAAGATATTTCCGGGGGCCTTGGGTGTGGCCTTCTCAAACTCCCAATACCAAGACTTACACTCTTAGCTGTTGTCATTTATCACACTGCTTTCCCACTGGTCAAAAGCGAAAACCTCCAAAAAGAGAAAGCCAAACTTGCTGATGCTTCAATATTGCTGATGCTTCACAATGTCAGTGTTCAAAAACAAGCCCTCTGCTCATGCGACACTTTTGAAGCTTCAAAATATTTTAACTCTGAAATGCTTGGTTGAGGTGACCCTTGTCACGGGCTCCCCTATTTTCAGAGTGTTTGTCATTTTGCTGATATTAGACCAATGTATCTAAACCTGCAACCGCTTGCGCTACCGGCTCAAGCAATCTCCCGAAAGTCTTAATACAACATGTGGAGCCGAAATCTTGCAAACGTCAGGTTGATCACATGTTTCCGGCGGTCAAACAGCAGGTCTTTGTTGGACCATGTTTGCATGGTTGTGTTCTCTTCACATATGGTTCAGAAGAGTTGGCCTTAACTTGACAAACCTTTCTGTTTCTTGAGGGTGCCCCTGTTTCGCATGGTTTTGAAGGGACACCAAAGCACCGTCAAGCATTTTGGGCGTTCCCCCATTTAGAGACAGCCCCATCAAGCTTGATCAGTGCTTCGCACGAGGCCTCTCAGTTTGCACATAGGGCAATGTGACCGCAGCATGAAGTTGGAGGCGTGCTTGCAAAACACTTGTCTTGTTAGCTGAGCTACAATCAAACCCGTTTGTGATGACTCCTTGCGTTGGTTTGGAGTTGGTTGCGGAGTTACTTGGAGTTGGTAGGTATGGTCGAGTCATCGTTGATGTAAGCCACAATCCCCTTTGGTTCTTACATCGGCTTGGGTAGATTATTTTACTTTAGTACCGGGCTTTGAGGTCACCCTTGTTGGTGATTACAAATCGCCCCATCTTGAACAACACCTTTTGCGGGCCTTTTGTATTTAAAGGCGTTACTCAGTTGCTTCGGGGTGCTACTTCTAAAGTGCCAAGGACAATGTTCCTCCAAGTCAGGAAAAGCGATAGATCGCCCTTGCCTTTGCCCTGTCTGGAACCCTGGTGTCATGCATTGGGCAGCGCCTTTGAATACAGGAAGGCGCTGGAGCCCAACAAAGGCATGGTGTTGGCAGTCAACAGATCAGGTCGCCTACTTTGAAGTATAGGGTTGGAATTGCCGCGAGAGATCCCGGTGGGCTGGGAGGAATGGTTTTGTCGTGAAACTGCATTGGCTGAGATGTTGGCAAGCTGCTGAACTCACTCCCTCGGGTTTTTTTTGGGCGCCCCAAACCCGTGATCCCGAAGTTTGGCCTGCATTCTGCGTGCGCGGGGTCAGAAGCCCTCGCGCCCCAAAGTCCTACATTTGGCGCTTGCACACTGCATGGGATGCTGCGGGGTCGGTGGCAGGCATCAGAAACAAGCATATGATTACTGGCAGGATCCACCAGGCCGATTCATCAGCACGGCCCGCGCGATTTTAGAGAAGCTACTTACCAGCTAGAAGGTTTAGAGGTCAAAGTCAGCCGCTACCTTTGGGAGGACAACCTTTGTGGAGAACATGAGCATGTTTGCCACATTATTTTCAGGGGTCCAAGGCAAATTCCAAGTTCTACTGGTTGACCCCCCTCTTTTTTCCCCCTAGAATTCCAAGACAAATTCGTGGGGGTTCGACAAGATGGCTTCTTTTGGGGTCCTGGTGCCGCCTTGTCTGAATTACGCAGGCCGCCTGGAGTTCCACTCGCCAGGCGGCTTCGGGTCTCTGGAGCTGGTGCGTACCCAAGTAGACGGGGGTGTTTGTTTGAAGATGCCCTCTTTCTTGGTGGTTTTTTAAGAGAAACCAAAAGGAAGCCACATTTTGGCAGGGGGGTTGGGGGGCGCCCACAAAATAGAAGACACACCCTTCTACTCTCCCCCAAAAGGTTGGGTGTTGCTTTTGCGGAAACACAAACCCACACGGAACCTTTCTAACATGGCATAACTTGAAATGGACAACAATCCTCAGCGGCAGGTGTTTGTTCCGTTGGCACCCTGAAGAAAGTCAAGGGAAAATCAAAGGACGACTGAGTCCCACAGTGGATGCCTTAAATACTAGGTTTGAGGTTGGGTGCGGTTGGCTCATTTGCGATAGATATGTAGGGCATCCGCTGTATCATTCTTCGTTTCATGGTGGATATAAACTTGGCCGACCTGGGTGGCACACCCCACCCAGAACGTTCGATAATTTTCAGCCGGATGCTCACCTCCCCAATCTGACTGATTTGGGAATCTGGGTTCACCTGGTGTTTGGTGCTCCTCTTGATTTGCCATGTTTGATGTTGAACCTGGGTGTACTCCCCCAGCATGACCAAAGTCAGCCCCGAAAGCACATCAAAGTTGAAAACGACCCCAGTTTCTGACTTTGATCAGTGACAATAATGGCCCCAGCATGACTCGAGCTGTCTCTGCCCGCTCCCTTTTCTTCTGGTCATGGATTTAAAACCCACGGCAGTGGGTGGCTTCTCCAAACAACATGTAAAAAGAATGAAATTGCGACTTGCCTCCAGAATTGCACATCAAATCGGATCATTGCGGTTTCAGAGTTGACATTTTGCAACAACCCCTGGGTTGGTTTGTTCCAACCCGGCTTTTGAAAGGTGAGTGCGTATCACCGTGTCTGTGTTTCAGGGGACCCGAAAAAAGGAAGAATGTGGGTTTCCTCTTGGTTTGAATCCCAAAGACCTTCCCAAGAAACAACGAGCCACCGTTCTGAGCATCGGTCCGGAGCTAGGAGCGAGTGGCCCGCCTCCAGCGTGAGTTGCTCTTCCTGGGGGAGGAGACGCCCTTGGAGAGGATCCAGCTGAAGGCGACGGGAGGACGGCTGGTCTTTTTTGGGGGGTTCCCGTGTTGTTTTGTTTTGGCCAAGGAAACCCAAGATACAAGAAAACCGAGTGGAACCAGAGCCAGAGCCCGGATTTGGACCTTTGGGCTGTGCCACATGGGCAAGATCATTTGGACAACTAAACGCCTGGGAAGGACTTTCTGGCTACACTCAGGATGTGCGAAAGTCAACTATTTGGGTTTCTCAAGAGGTGTTGTTTAGAGGGTGATTTCCCTTTAACCCCGCCCCCGACCCGACGAACTACCATCACTCTACTTCCTTGTAACAATGCAAAATAGAATATGTTGGTAAAGGTGTTTTGCCTGTGCATTGTGTTTGATGGGTGGCCTGCAGCCATCCATGCACCTGCAAATCCAAGAAAGGGAGATTTTGCAGATGTCACTTCAAGGGACCCAGCAGGGATCGAAATCCCCGGTGAAACCGCCCCGGAGGGGTTGCACGGATTTTACGAGCTGACCGATCGGGGGTAAAACAAGCTCACATGACAAAGGCCCTTTGTGAGTTTCCGGTTTGAAATAATTGGGTCAGGTGGCCGGCTTGGTTGGAAAATTGGGCTTTAGAACCTAGGCACCAAGGAAACACCCTGAGGCGCGGGTAATTGCTCACTTTGGCAGCGCGGAAAGGTTTGTTCCTTTAACCGCGCATGTGTCTCAAATTGAGGTTTGAGGACGGCTGGCCCGAATGTTCACAACGTTCTCCCCGCTCCAGGCGGTGAAAGACCAACCCAGTCAAGTAGCGATGGGTTTGAGTGTGAACCTTCGGCTCAATCTGTTTGCCGTATCCTGCGGAGGGGTTTCACCCGCAAGTGTCAACGGTGAGTTTGGCCAAAAGGAGTCCGTGGAACTGGTGTTAATGAGACATCCCCGAGTTGATCTGGTGGGATGTTTTGGAATGGCTTCGAGGAGACTGTCGCCATGTTTTTTGTCCTGCTTTAGAAACCGCATGGGCTGCTTTTCCAATCGTTTTCGTCCCAGCTTGCGTTGAGCCAGCGAACACGGAACCCCGGACAAGCTCAGCTCATTGCTTTGTTTGACCGGAGGGCAACATACTGCACCGGAGTTGGGTTCCAGAAATCGCAGTTGAATACGCCTTGACGCCACTTCTGACTGGTCACCTTGAAGCTATGGATCCAACCTCAGGCCTTCATGAACCTCAACGTGCTTCATGCTTTCACTGCCGGCCGTTCGCTTCCATGGGCACCGGAGATCACCTTTTTGCGCTTGCCGCACCATCTACACCTGCAGTTGAGGGACTCTCGGACATTGCGGACTCAAGCTTGACTGGGTGCTGGAAGACTGGGTGCAAGGTCAATTGGTGCCGGAAGTGCCCTGATCGGGGATGTGTTGATTCTTCCTTTTGAACAAAGGAGAAAGTCTTGACTGTCCATATTACGTCCCTGAGCTGTTCCCAGATCCTGCTAACAGTCCAACCTTCAGCGGTTTAATGGAAGCTACCACTAAACCCTAAAAGAAAATTAAAAACCTGAGGGGATGGCTGAGAACCTGAACAAAAATATCAGTGGACTCCCCCCCGTGGCATGGAACGCGTCCCTTTGAGAGAAGGGTAAATGGGGTGAGGTTGCACGTGGGTAAAGCATCCAAGCAACTCTAAGGAGTTTTCCATACAGTGGATGTCCAAAATGTGGCAATATAAAGGGGGGAGGTGGAGAAACTCTTTGGATAACTATGCCAGCAACTTCGGTGTCCGAGTTCAGAAGGACAACTCCGGGATATCAAGTGGTGTGTTTGGAGGGCCTTTAAAGGAAATCATGACAAAAACCACTGGGTACCAGGCGTAGGGTTCGATTTCTCCTTTGCAGCGCGCGACATCAAGATTGTTCGGTTGAGTACCGCAAGAAAAAGGAAGAAAACCCCTCCATTGGAAATTCGAAAAGCAGAGGCGCCGCGAAGCTGGCGCCAAGTGGAGCCATTCTTGGAGCCGCAAAGCCCGGAGGAGCGTCGGAACACGGGGGCGGGTCCGCAGACGCTTAGGAGCTGTCGTCTCCGGTGCCCTTGAAACCTCCCAAACATTGGTTTTTATATTTTAGAACCTCCATTTCTGGGGTCAAAAAAACATTTGTTAGAAATTTAGTGTAGACTGAATATGAAAGAGAGTCAGAAAGATGAGTTTTGGACATGGGCAAGAACTGGTCTCGATTCCAACCTGGTGCTGCTTCTTCCTTCTTACTCACGGCTCTTGGCACGCGTGTTGAAATCGGCTTTCCAGGTATCAGAATTAAACCAGCCACTTCGACCATGTTTGAACCATTGGTTTGTGTTCTTGAGGGTAATGTTGACTTCGGATAAACCTGGAGGACCCGCTTGGAAGGAACCCCTTTGCCTTTGCCTTTGCGATAGCGCACAGTGTCTGTTCGACGCATCGATTTATTAGGGGGAGGGGAAAAGAAGGAGAAGGGCCCAAAAACAAACAAGCCATGTCTGTACATGCGCTGATGCACCTTCGCCCTTACAAGGGAACCACCCATTGATCAGCATGGTCCTCCACGGCCAGCCACTCACTGCGAAACCAATTCTTGGACCATTGTGCCGTCCTTCCCAGCACCCTCTTTCCTGTTTTGGGGTGGGTGTCCCTTAAAAACCACCCAGAACACAAAGAGAAGAACAAAGCTGACAAGTAGTCTGTCACTTTAGACGTTCACGGCAATCCATGCGAAACCAAGAGGAAAATGCTGTGCTTCGTTCCACCAAACCCAGCAATGCCTTGCCTTGCTGACCTGCTCGGCTTACAAGGTCAACTCGACACTTGCTGCGGCGTTCCAAGGCACGCACTTCCTGGTGCCTGCTCACATCCGGGCAATTGTCAAGCACTATCCTGTTTGGCACTGCGCAATGTCCTTGGTATTGTTGGTTGGATTATTGGGAGGGGTTTCTTAAGTGCGATCAACCAGGGCCTGGGTTTCTATGATTGTCGCAAGTTGCCGAAGTTCCTTTCCCGTTGGTTGTGGTAACTGCAGTCTTTCCAGGGATGGGTCACCCACCTTCAGGCTTCTCAAACTACTTACATGAGTCACCCCGTTACGCACCTTGATCCAAACAAGTGTGTGCGTCAAACGGATTACCCCGTAAATGGACACTTCCGCAGTCCGCTGTCCGTTGTCCGCTTCTCCCTTTTGAAAGCGTTTTCCGGTGCTTGAAAGCTTCGGGACTCAGGACCGAGGTTTGGCCATGCTCCCGGGCCGAGCCCGCAGCCTGGCCGGCCGCCTCGTCGAGGCTTGGGCAGCGGCGCACGGGTCTGATGCGACCTGGGCTGCTCCCCTCGTTGAGGTCCTGTTTCACTCAAAAAAAATACAAAGGGGAAGGTGATTCATGACTTCCTGACTTCCTGGTCCGGGGATGTTAGGGGATGTTTGGGGGGAAAAGTCCAAATCCTGTTGTTTTGGAACGCAGACCCAAATCGGTGTTTCGCAAAATACGGGTCCATTTCCCGAATCTTCAACCTTGAGAACTGTCTGAAGTAGAACATGTGTCTGTGTGTCCTTCCCGCTCCACAAAAGTTGCAAGGGCAATAGCCACCAAGTATGAAACACCTAGAGCTGCAGAAGACGGCAAACACGGTGATGGGGGATCAAGCCTCGGACCAGCTTTGCCCAATTGTGAGCTGAATCCCCACAGAACTCAATCTCAAAATAGCGGTACCCTCAAAATGGGTTGGTGTCCTTTGGTCTCCCTTTAAACAAACCCGAATATGAGATAGACATAGAAAACAGGTATGGGGCAAACAGGTATGGTCCATTGGCTCGCTCCAAGAGAGCGGTGTTTCTGAAGTTCGTGATGGCTTCCATTGTTGAACGCAATGTTTAGAACGGGCTCCCTCTTTTGGGAGGTGCTTCCGAAATTGAGGACGCCTTTTGGATGACTTTCAATGGGAGACAGAAAGGAAACCACGTATTTGCGGATTTCCTTGAGGTCTTGCTTGCCATTTGTAGCTGAGTTTTCTGTTGGCGATCGTGTATCTATATATATATATATATGCTCACCCCCCCCCCCCCAGGGCCTACCTTTCCTCTTCAAAATGTACAAAACCCTCTTATTTTTAAAGACAGGGGGTGTGAGCATATATACGCAAGAAGTGTGCTGTTGCTGCATATTTTTTTGTGGGTGACAAGTCATGTTGAGTAACAACAGCAAAGAGTTTATAAACTTACAAGACAGTTTATAAACCATGTCAAGGGTTTGACGGTTTCCCTGCAACAAGGGCAGGGGGGGGGTCAGAACTCTTTACTGGGGGGGTACTGAGAAGTCTTTACAAAGTTGG